AAACTTTGAACATGTTCTGGGATTTTGTTGTAAAAACGTATACATTGCCCCATAAATGAATTACTTATTCTGTGGAGTCTATAATAAACACTACCTCTCACTATCCAATAATACAATTTTATCGTAATCTTAAGGTTGTTCGGAAGATATTGCTTTTCAGAGATAAGTCCGCCTTATTGTACCCACCTCTTAAGTTTTACTCCCTTTACTATGTTCAGCAGTGGACTTACAATAGGCTGGAACGGTAATCGTATACGAGAATGTGGGATTAGGATGATACACTTATTCTGTGCGGGATCAGCGTCCCCAAACTCACAGAAAAATGCTTGGCCACAAAGCTACCAGTATAAAATACGTAAAGGGAATTAAGTCCTGACAATTTTAAATCCCTCATTTTTCCAACCCTAAAACTGGCGAAATCGAAAATGAAGGTTTCAAAGTTACTATTATATAATTACCATGCTTGGCAGGCGCGTTGGCAGCATTGGGAAGATGCTAGTGTAACATATCGACTTGTGGGTTGTCTTATTTTTAATAGGCTATAATTCAATCAATTTTTTCGTAAATAAACATTTTGTAAAATGAATTAAGTTTGTTACGTGACATAAAGTACTTTTGTATAGAGTGGTAGAGCCACGCTGCATCTATAATATAGTTTCAACACGAAAGTTTCGGCTCGACCAGGGAGGACCACGCTCTCACAGAATACTAGCCTAAAATAGCAGCTTAATGCTGCTGTGTTTTGTTTGGTGAGTGCAGAGAAACGAAGAACATTTTTACTGGTAATGAGGCTATTCTATCTTCTTGTCTGCAATGTGTTGCGTCCTGAAGGATGACAACACATCTACATTTTGATTCTTGCTCGAGGATAAATGTAAATGTATTAACATAATGGCCAGAGCGTCCCCTTATCATCAGGTGGGCTATGTGTTCGTTTGTCACTCTTATGCTAAAAAAACTTTCCCCAAACATCTCTTTTTTTAATTTACTGCCACCTTGTTATAATATTTAAGATTAGTCTAGAAACGTGTAATATAATAATTGCGTCCATTTTTTACTGAATATAAGGCGAGCAAAGCTACGGCAATAATAGAAAAAAAATGTCAAGAAACCGACAAAGCTGCTTACAGACAATGTGTCAAACGAGTGAGCAATAAAAGTGCACTCATAATAAAAAATCTAATCGCTTCGCTTGAGAACCAAAAGATAGATGTGGCTGCATTAACACAGGTAAGTAGGAAGCGATAAATCATTGATCTAATTTGTTTCTTTTCATTCTATATTACCAAGTCACAAGTATCATTACCATCAAGTCTTTCACTGCTAGAGATAGTCACGCTTAGCTGGGTGATTGGCAATAACAGTACCAGACATTTCGCACCTATTTAGTGCTCAGCACTATGTGATGTGATTGTGATTATCCGCAATGCGATCAGACGTACGGCTTTTTTCTTCTTTACGTAACGTTTGTAAATGTAGTAAACAGCCGCAAATTTGTCCATGTCCATCTTTGAAATGAATCGGTATGACCGCAAATCGCAACGGTTCTTCAACCGCATCCTGCTGTCAGCCAGACGGCTAGCCGTATTGCAGTTATCCGCGTAGTGCATATGAGCACTTATACATTGCTATCCGTCATTAATCTAGATATTTTAAGTCTGGCGTATGGAGTGTAGAGTACAAGGAGAACCATCTTATAAGGGGCGAAGGTTGAAAAAGTGTCCTACTATTTACTGAAAATAGAGGTTCCAAAAACTACCATAATAACGCTGGCGTCTGAAAAACTACGATATGAAGATAGCTGTTATGAACGGAGTGAAGTCAGCTGAATTCAAATATTTAAAAAATTTCATGACTAGATTAGTTAGTAAAATGCCAGTATACAAAATCTCAACTATTTACATAGTACAAAACCAAGCGGATTGGTCGGTCCTTGTGTATTTCTCCATCTTACTTTTGGCGCTTTTTTTTTAATTTATCCTATGTTACTGCAGCGCCACCCTTATTAGACACGTTTTTAGGGACACTTTTCATAGTATAGAGATGGTCCTCCTTCTCTCTACACTCCATAGTCTGGCGTAAACGAGGTGGTTAACGCCATCTATTGAAGGCTAAGCAAATATTTTAAAATATTTCTTGCATTTGCTACAGAGCCCTCTTATTACACCTAACAGAAGACATTGAAGGTTGATAAATTCTCTAACGCTACCACGAGAGGGCTATTAAACGGTTTAATAATGACTAATTTTGAAGCTAAAACTTGAAACCCGGTTATGAATAAAAAAAAACTGCAGTTCCTATGCCGCTTGCACTAAGGGTGGCAAAAACGGCAAATACCATCTCTTTGAGGTACTCATCCACCATCTCTTGTCTGCACCATGAGACCTAAGGTGATTCACAAGAGTGATCAGAGTTTTTAACGGCTAAAGGTGTCTTGGCCGCAGTGAGAGAGAGACCTTACCAGGATTCTCGGTGATAGTAATGAAGTCCACGTCCAGCGTTGAAAGAGAATTTTATTTTTTCGTTACGTTCCAATTTATACAATTTCATATTCCCAACTAAATACAAATACAAATTTACATAATATGCTAAGGTTACACAGCAACAACTATTAGTATTCGTGGGTTTTGATAACGCGGTCACTGGTTTACTGATAAAATTCAGGTTATGCCATGCATAAACAGAAACTCCGTATATCACGACATATCAGTTAATATATGATGTCATAACTGAACAACTTATACGCCCTTTATAAATAACTTACTCCTGATACGATTCCACGATTAAAAATAAATAAAAAACGTATGGTGTTATTTTTTTTTTATATTTTAATTATGATATTGCAGGAAAAAATATGTAACCTAACATCTATGAAAACGGATCCATTGGAACTTATAAAAATATTGGCCCAAGAAAATGCATCATTACAATTTGCACTACCAGGATTTTTGCGACTACTTAGCGCTTGTTCTTTTTATTGTTCGCAGTATGTACCAATTAATTAATTATTATTACTACTATTTATTTCTAATATGTATTAGGTTTATAGTAATGAATATAACCGCACATTTTGTTTATCAGCCCGTAAAAGTCCATTCCTGGACTTAAGTCTGTCGTGGTATGAAGGAATTGCCATATCGTCATGCTTAGCAGACGGATGGACAAACACAGTACCAGACGTCTCGCCCACCTGACGCTGCACCTGGTCACTGGTTTAGGTATCTGTACCTATTTCTTTTTTTCTGGCATTTACCATAGTCGCCTCTTATAAAACCAACGGGACAAAATAGAATAATGGATTTTCTTGCGCCGCCACTCACGCCAATTTGATGCAATATAAAATCAATACTACCATGTGTTAGGTACAACAACCTTAAATCGATCTCGTCACCAAACTAGATGAGGTTTGCTTTCGGGTGAAGCTAGTAATAGTAAAGTCGGAATAATAATTAAAAAATACAGACTTCTTTTTAAAAATTGTTAAAACTAAGATTAAACTTACTAACACACCATTTTAATTTCAGGACTCAATCTAAAGATTATAATAAAAAACCGCCACTCCTTATGACAGATTTAGAACTTGTAGTGAAACACTTTTTGAAACACTTCAGTTAATACAGGGCTATTTGACAACTGTATTTACAGCTTTTGGCTCTATGTTTAAAATGCCCTTGTCGGGATATTTATGAAAAGACTGATGGATCGAGCTTTCAAAAGATTCACATACCGACTTCTAGATGTCACTACAGTCATTGAACTTTTGACATGAACTTGTTTTAAACTTTCAGTAACTTAACCAAAATACTTCACATTTTTGTGTAATGAGTGTTTTGATTTTTATGTGAATTTAATTTAGACTTGAAATAAATTGTAATACGATTTATGTGAAGTTAAAATATTCTTTGAACTCGAATATTAAATACCCTGTGACTTAACATAAATATGCATCTTTTATAAAAGCTTCGAAATTCCTTGGAAATTATGGTAAGCAGGAATATTTTATTTATTTTCAATGAATATTTTCCCTAATATAATAGAACTGTTAAATATTTATTGTCGTGACTTTAATAAATTGAAGAGAAAGCTTACATTCAGCTCAGTTTATTGCTAATTCAGCCCACTTTCTACTTTGCCATATCTAACATATTAAAAAATACTACCTTTATTTGTTTGGTGATTTATATATTATATTACATGTATATTATTCTACATTTGCATTCAGGTTATATTTTTAATGAGAGAACAACTTTTATATAATTATTCCTTTTAGTATTAATGTAAAATATATATAAAATATTATACTTATGTTGTGTCAGCAATGTTATTTTTTTTGCTAACAATTTGTAATAATCTGTCTTGTAAAAAATAATCTTTTAGTTATTGCTGTAATACATAGCTTTATATTATCTGGTAGTAGTGAAAACTGGAGTATAAATAAAAATAAATCCTTTATTATACTTTGTAGTGTCAGTGTAAGAATATCCACTACCTCATATCATTCCTTTAGTGTCATAAGAGGCGACGGAGGGAAACAAGTCAGAAGATGGGTAGCAGCATCTTCTTAATCTGATAGAAAAATTAATGTTTGTTTGTTCATATTTTATGTGCTGCCATGTCATTCATTAGATTGTGGTAAAACTTTGTCAACATTTGCACTTCTATGAAGGTTATAAGCATAGTTAGACCTGGTAGGTGGTGCAATTGTAGAATCTGGATATCACCCGTGCGAAGCCGAGGCAGATCACTAATAATGACTAAAAATAAAACTATAGTTGCAATTCCACTTACCCGCATGGCAACTATGGCAAATATCACCCCTATAAAACAATCTATGGGAAGCCTATGTTCAGCAGTGGACTTTAATAGGCTGTAACAGTAATGGTAATCCTTTATTTACAAAAATCTCTTGTATAACAAACAATTGGTCAAAAGCAAAAGACAAAAGAGTCATTATAATTTATTCATATATTGGATACTAATACTTAAAAATACATGACATGTTATTTTTTACTTTTCTTGTGTTTTTTAGATTTTTTCGATTTCTTTGACTTCTTTTTGTGTTTTCTTCTCTTTTTCTCTGCTTCACTATCACTGCTATCACTTGATGATGTACTACTACTAGTAGAACTTGAAGACCTGTAACAAAACAGATAATTGATGTTTGTAGGAAACAAATTATTGAATTCAATAAATTAATATCCTGCATAAGGAAATGACTGACAGACATTTTAACCCAATATACATAGTAATAAAAAAACCACCTGTATGTGAACTAACTGTGGACTAATACTGAGAACTAATCCGAAGGTGGGGTATTTGGCATACAAAAGGTCTATAAATTATTCATGAATTCAAGTCTTAGCAAACAATATGCAATTATTTGCTGTGTAATGACTGCCAATGAGTTTTATCCCAAGTATTTCTGGTATCAATATTTTGTCACACTACTGTTGCTTTCAATTCATTCTACATATTACTTTGTAAATATAAAACTTGGCTAAAATTTGTTTTAAATCATTAATAATTGTACACACACACACACACAATATATCATATACAATAATAAAAGAAAAAATGTTTTACAATGTTTTTAAAATTATGTAAATGCCATTTTTTCGTGAACTAATACCTTCTAAATTAGAAAATCAATTAGAACTCTCCCTTATTGGTTTACTTTACAATGGTGTAAGTATATAAGGTTAATATCATTATCACAACCACCAAAAAAATCAAGTAATCTTAAACTTATCAATAAGCCTAAATACAAATAATATGAACATAACAATACCATCCCACATTACACATTACCACATTAGTATTACTGTTTTATAGAATTATACATGTCTATACATATTTATCGAGTAATTTACATTCAGATGAGCAAAATAGTATTATACTGTTTTAACAGAAGCATGTTGTTTTTGTAGCATCAAAGTCAATGAAAAATGTTAGTTGTGAGTACTGTTGATATGAAATATTTCACTTTGTGACAAACAATGTTGTCTATCCCAACAATTTTTATATTTTTAGTAATATTTTTTTAGAAATTCTTTTACAACCTCACAATAAAGGTAAGGCAGTGTAAATACAAGAAAGATAAATTAAAAGAAATGAAACCTATGTCTTCATAATAGCCTTAACTATATTGCTAAAATGATTGTTTTTTTATAATTTCAATGCTTTTGATACATTGTACGGTTCCTTTTCTGCTTAAAAATTCATCTAGATTGGTATCACTCTCTTACCTCTATTTACAGCATTGTCACCAAGTCAGAGAACACTGTTCCAATTCATTTTATCTTTTATCCTTAGGAGTATGCATGTATCTCTCACATCTATGTCTACTAAACAACAGGTGGACTTAAACCTAATTTATTTACTTTGATTATATAAATAAATAATGAATCTGACAAGGTCTCCCACAGTAGGAACTTGTTGAAGCAATGGCACAGATTTCTTCAATTTCAAGTCCTTTGTATAGGCGAATTTTTAATAAAAATATTTTGACTTGGACTGCAAAGTAGCTATAAAAATATTCATATATTCTAGTTACAATATTGTGAATCATAAGAGCCATTTAGTAGACACATAAGAGCTGTTTCACATCCTTATAAGTTAGTTAGGAAGTTGGCACTGTTTCACCCCCATGCCTCAGAAAGTATGTAAAGCGGTTGGTCCTGCACCAGACCTTTCTCCAGTCTATGAGAGAGAAAGAATAGAAAGTGAAAAAACACCTGTGTTTGCACATACACTTGGGCACTATAATCCTGTCTTGCGCAGATGTCTAGTCTCCATTGAACCCGGCCCCAGTGACCGAAATTCGGTCTAGAGGACATTATAATTATATCTATACATACATACTTATCTGTCAGAAGAGTATTCTGAGTTTTTACCATCTTAAATATAGACAAATTGCTTCCATCAATTTCCATCTAAGGCATCCCAACTCTGCCACTCACTTCTGTACCACACACTTGGTTTGTCACCCTTTCCTCTCATAATACATTCATGGTCCCAACTTACAAGACAATATTTATTACAATAAAAAAAAACTAAAATTATTATACTGTATAGTCCCACTCCACACAATTTTGCCAAGAATGCTGGCTGCATTCCCTCACTGAATGGCTACACTAAGCTTTTGAGCGAGAAAAGTATATGATCTGGGTATAAGACAGTTTTATCACTCCAACAAACTCACCTTGTAAATAAGCTGTTATATTGGTTTCTATTGATTGATAAAACTTAAAAATGGGTCATTTACTTTACGCCGCTTTTGTTTATCATTGCCATAACATTTAACAGTGAAAGCTATTATACACCTTCCGTTGTCAATGTGAATAGTTGTACTGTATAGTGGCCGTGTAAGAATATCCACTACCCCATATTGACCCATGGGTGCTGTAGGAGACGACAGAAGGTAACTGAAACAGGAGATGGGCAGCAGAAAAAAAAGAAAGTTCCCAACAAGCTTGTCAAGCGTAGCAACTATTACAAAATGCTCCCTATGTGGGAGGCCTATGATCAGCAGTAAACTTTTATAGGCTGCAATGGAATGTGAATAATTATGTAGGATATAATAAGCCAATAACTTCAGTGGCACAGTAAAATAATTCTAAGTAAAAATTAACTGCCAACTAATACTGAATAAAGTGAACAGCTCTATATAAACACCAGCCATGACACCCTACACCTATAGGACATACTTGTTTGCCGAGGAATAACAATAAATTATGTTACAGCTCAATTTACAGTTAATTGAACAGCTGGCTAATTAAACACTTACTTATTTCACAAAATTTAAATGACACAAATTTACAGTTCACCTAGAGACATATGGCTTCGCATCCGTATTAGTTATATACATACATCCTCATTCTTTCTAACCAAATGGATATTGGCGGTAACTAGCAGCCTAATCATTAAATTAACATTAAGTCATTGGATTACATTAATTATAATTGTATGATAGTCTCTACTTTAACAGTTAAATATAGTACTATGCACAATTATACTATAGTTTGGAGAAATCACGTTTTGTCTTGATGGCAAAATTTGACTACATTAGCACCTTTAAAATTATGTTGTCAAACATATAGACACTATTACCATTGACACAAATGTTTATATATATAAAATCTAGCAGGTACAATCCCAAAGAAATACCTTGATCTTTTTCTTTTCTTAGACTTCTTTTTCTCTTTTGCTTTTTTCAACTTTTCTTCTAACTTTTGCTTTAGCTCTGCTTCTCGTAAGCTTTGAAGCGGAGTGGCATACTCTACTTCACTATCACTGCTAGTACTGCTCACATCTAGAACTATTTCTTTATTTGGGTCGACCTGTGTTAAAAGTTACAATACATGTATAAAATAAAGGGCACAATGGGATATTCCATTTCTTTCAAAACAGTTATCTATACTAGTGATTTCTCTTGAATCATGTATTTTACGCACATAAAATGCACTTGTACAAAAACCAGACCCAGCTCATGTGTAGGACCTGTAATTAGTAGTTCCGAGCGAACTTCGAACTCCGGGCCGAAGCATCGCACTTATTCCTATTAGTTTAGCTTATTCCTACTAGTTTAGTCGGATATTTTTATGCATTTTAATGTATTCAACAAAAATAGTCCTGACATAGAACTCGTTAATGATAAATAAAATTAATCATTCAAAAATTTTACTTTTTATCTCTCGAAATTTCGAAACTTACTTTTATAAAGTTTCGACACTGAAATGTTAAGTGACCTGCGTAGCCACACTTTTTACACGCGGCTCTTGTAGTTTCTTTGCCGAATTTATTAACTAAGTCAATGTAGTTTGACATTGCTTTCTGTGACAAACATAGATTACTGTATAATTATACAAATTACTAGAAAGTGGAAGTGGAAAGTATTTTGTGCGATTTTCGTACATATATAATTTTTGACGTTATTCAACGGTTGTCATAAGTTTAAGTCATTGACATTGATGTCAAATGTCAATGTTGTTGTTGCTTGTTACCGTGTTACGATTCGCTAATTGAGGCAGGCAAACGTCTCATACCATACAGCCTAGCATTATGTTATATATGTTATATTATGTTATATGTTATATTATGTTATATATTATATATATTTTGTTCACAAAACTTTTCAATATACTGAAGCGTCATATTGCGAAATTCTTGGAAGATTTTGGTGACAGCTAAACCCTCCTGGCTTTAACAATTGATGACGATAGTATCGCAAGGCCTCTAAACGAATGAAAAAACCATGTGTGCAGTTCATACGCGGTGAAACCTTCAAATGAAACGAAATACATATAAAATAAAAATATTTCACAGTAAATGATTTATTTAATATAATCATTTTCAACCATTATTTCGGTATAAAATATGAAATAAAAGTTTAATTTTATAGCAAATCAATTTTACAATCTTTATTTGTAGACTTCATTTTAGTGTAATAAATCAAAATAATATTTTCTTTCGAGAAAAATTGCTTCGTGATAGCGCCATCTACTTCACTTATAGGTAAAGTAATATGCTTTTGATACGCTAGACAATATGTCTTCAAGTGACAACGATATTATGCAGGCAGCCGCAGTATTTATAATTTTATGCAAAACAAACACCAGTAGTTTTGGAGTTATCCTTAATAATGCGTATTAATATTGAAGTCGGTTATAGGTAAAATTTTTACTTTCATTAGTTGTCTCTCTTCTTCTCTTTTTAAAAAACGTTACCTCCACACGGATTTGATCCTGTATCGCAGGGACAGTTTACATACATAGAACAGACCTAGAACAATTATTTGTAGGCCATATAAATACTCGTTCCGACCGGGATTCGAACCCGCGGCCCTTAGCGCTGCAACTCATTACTAAACCACTGCGCCACAGAGCCGTCACTTGTCTGTTTCACATTTTTGCTATTTACAAACTTGCGACACGCGACTTCATTATTAATGAAAGAGTGGCAATGAGAAGTATTAAACTAATAACCAGTACATGCTGATCTTGCATTAGTAAGCAGTCACTAGTACTGGGAGGTCTACTTACACTGAAAATATTTTTAAGGTCATTTAAGGCATTATACGCGAAAAAATCGAAAAATCAAATAATAAATCTGTAACTATGGCGTCAGTAACTAAGTGCCTAATTATATAGATCTACCTATAAATAGTAATATAATTTTGATTACACACATCCCATAATATATTTTGTGAACGATATAAATTAATTAATGTGTCGATACTCGTTCGTCTACCTGACAGACATGTTGCCGACAAATGTTTCCAACAAGCGTCTCCACAGGGGGAACAAATGTTTGTAACAAGCGTATTCCTTTGATGTTGCCGGCGAAAATGGAAACACGGTTCCCGACATTGTTTACAAGTTTTGTTGCCAACACTAGGTAATTACAGAAACATTTGTTACCAACACGTGTTGGCAACACAAAAGTTGGTAACAAAACTTTGATGGAGATGCGGCTTAATACATACTACTTCTATGGAGCGAAATAGGGTCATAGATTCTCTTACGCCATTTACTCTTATGCTTACTTACACGTCACTCCTACACGACACAGCATATTAAATCAAACCACCTTATTATTTAGTTTGTCATTTTATAAATTTAGCTACTTTCCACTTCAATTGTGTAATTAAATTTGTTTCTTTTACTAAAGGTAATACTTTTAATAATTAGCATAATGAATCTATAATAAACTATTAATTCACTCTAATCCGATGGTCTTTTTTATAAAATCCTAAAATATAAAAAATATTTAAGGAATATGAATAAAGGTATAATACAACTTTTAGGTGGGAATACGTGGTAAAGCCTTTTATTCATTAGTCATTAGCAGTTTAACGCTAAAATTGTACATCACCAAAACTTTGTATGCGTATCACTTTTAGTAACTTTTCCACTAAGTTTTACAACCCTTCACAAGTCCACTACTGAACATAGGCCTCCCCCAAGGAATGCCACAAACACGGTCACAGTCTCAGAAGAACATACAGTCCATCATTGCGTTTGATGTTGTTGGAAAAGCAGACATAAACAATAAATTGGTAGGGTTGTCAGAACGGGTAGTAATAAAGAAATAAAAAACTGATTTTATTTTATTTCACGTTTAAACAAATTAATGTGTATGTGGAAAATGATGAAACTAATTCCTTATCTTTAAATGAGGACGACTCACAGTTTTTTACCGCGCATGTAGTGTTAACTATTTTAATTTATTTGCGTGACAGAACAACCCTAGCTGACGGTACTTCGCCCACGTGTCGTCCCGCACCGCACCTTACGATTGCCCGTCTAGACATCTTCGATGAGTCATTAATTTCTTTTTAATTAAAATTTTTGCGTAATTATTTGGAAAACTTGTTAGTAGATGTTCCAGAAGAAATTAAAAGTAATTTGTTTAATGAACATGACAGTTGTCCAGCTCACTCGCGGTTATCTGTACGAGAGTAGCTAAATAGCCAATACCCAAACAGGTAGATTAGAAGGGGAGGGCCAATTCCGTGGCCTGCAAGAAGTCCTGATCTGTCGGCACTAGACTTCTACGCTTGGGGTCACATGAAGGACTTAGTCTACCTGAACCCAGTGAATTCTGTTGAAGAATTTCGAAGGCGTATCTTAAATGCGGCAGAGCAGATTAGGGCTACAATATCTTCAAAAATAACGAAAACTGGTGTTAGGAAAAGAATCAGGACGTGTTTTTTTTTTATAGGATAGGGTGACAATTACAAACGAGTACACAGTCCACCCGATGTTAAGTGGTTGCTGTAGCTCATAGACATATACATCTATCCTCGTTTGCGAATCAAAATGCTCTTTTCCAGTAAAAAGGGTCTCCGGTTCCCACACTCACCATACGAAACATAGTAGTGTATCCGCAATAGTGTGACTGTTTTTGGTATATTCAGTACTAAACTGGTATCATTTGGGCTCCGTGAAACTGATTTAGTTTTTTTTATGGTATAATATCCGAATCTGGTAATTTTTGGTACAATTTTAAACTTATATCAATTTTTAGTGGTACTAATTTTGGGCAACACTGACTTCCATTCGTTCACCTAGTGTCGTCTTTGTCTGATGTTTACCACAGCTATATTATTTTGTCTCTTTCGAATAGTTACAGAAATAATTTATGGGAATTCCCCACAAATCGTGCTTTATTTATACCCGCTTAGTAACCGCTTTAGCTTTACTACGTCGCGGGGAATTACTGAAACTTAAGAAATTATTCGCAGCAATGAGTAGGTATAAAAGGAACTACGGATGTTTTTGTTCTTTACTTCTCGGTGTTATCGAGCGTGTGTAGTGGTGAATGACGGTTGAAATAAAATTATGAAGCGCAAGTATGAACAGAAATGTAGACCTGAGTAGGATCAAAATCCTGAGTGAACGAACGCCTTGTGTAAACCTACGACATAATTAGAAATGATTCCACAAGACAATTGATTGACGTGGAATATCGTCGAATTAAGTATGATTCAGAGATACAAAACCAGTGTGGTTCCAATGGTAGTACCAGTGCAGCTGTAAATGTTGAACAGTTTTGGGGCAAATTCAGTAATATTGTTGTGTGTTGATAGTAGAAACGTCCCTAAATACAAAAATTTGACTAACTTTTTTAAATTTCTGATGTGTACACCCATTTCTAATGATGAATGCGAGAAAAATTTTTCAAAAGTTAATATTGTTAAAACAAAATATAGAAACAGGTTTTTATCGAAACATATTGCGAGTCTTTTACATGTAAAATAAGCTCTAAATGAAAATTGTGTCTCATTTGACCCACCGAAAGACATGTTAAAAAAACCGTCCAATACCAACTATTTAAAATAAATATGTGTAAATAAAATTGTATGTATAATATGATAATAAATAACATTTTAACGAAAGTGTGTTTGTTTGTTTGTCCTTCTTACACGATCCAGCGGGGAAAAGGATTGGTAATATTTTTTTGTGTGGGAATTGTTTATAAGCTAGATAATGACATGCTAATTTTTACCGCGATGAAATATCATACCCACGGCCCACGGAAAAGACGTGTTTACACGCATGGCATTAGCATCGCTTGACACCACTAGATGGCGCTAGCGTCGCATAACTTTAAATGACAACAGACCGAACCCACGCGGGCGAAGCCGAAGGCGGAAGTTAGTCTTAGTATATTTTTTGTATAATCCAGCATGTGTTCTGGGTATTATTTAGTACTGGCAACACACTGTCGATGACCCACTGTTAGTAGTAGTTAGACTGTGGCACTGTCCCGAGCCACCTGCATCCATTGAGTTCCTGCATGTCTTTCTTACCAGGTCATCATTTCATCTAGTGGGTCATCTTCTTCGAGGTATATGGCTGGCCCATTGCCACTTCAGCTTACTAATCCGTTGGGTTATAACGGTTACTCTGATTCTATTACTAATATCCTCATTTCTTAGTTTATCACGCAGATAAACCGCGAGTTGATGAATGAGATTTTATTTCGAATTCTTTAGAATGAATCTGTGCCGGTGTGCTGATATTCATTATGTAATTGCCAGCAGTTGTTTTTGACTAGATTTGCGTTTGAGACAAGGGTTTGGCTACCTTTCCCGGATTCCTGGGATCGTTACGACAAACATTGCTGATTATCATACAAAATCCACTTTTAATTAATTATAAATGACAATCCGATTCAGAATCTACTCAGTTGTGAGCTGCGTCAACAAATTAACGTAAGCTAGTTGAGTGTTGTACTTCAGTAAATTTTTAGACTAATTGAGTTTTGAGCTTAAGTAACAGTGTCGTGCTAAGAATATTAGCATGGGACAGCGCGCCATTTTGTGTGAGATCCATTCGTGCCACAACTATACCAGTAATATAGGTGCAGCATGGCATGGTAAATTATTAAAAATCGAAATGTTGCGATGATGCGTTTTTTTTTTTATAGGATATGGGTGACAAACGAGCACACAGTCCACCTGATGGTAAGTGGTCGCTGCGAGCCCATAGACATCTACATCAATCCTCTATTACAAATCAAAATGTAGATGCGTTGTCACCCGTGAAGACTAAGATGGAATGCCTCATTTCCAATAAAAAGGGCCTCCGGCCACCTGCACTCACCAAGCGAAACGCAGAAGTAAACCTCTACTTCACGCTGGTTTTCTGTGAGGTCGTGGTACCACCCCGGTTCGAGCCGGCCCATCCGTGCGACAGCAAAAGCTGCCGCGTGGCTCTACCACTGTTGAAATTATCATCGTTATCACACTTTAATTTTATTGTTCATGCTGTTCCGCAGATAGCAAGAAAAAGAAGGTGAAACTATAAAATAGGAGAAATGTTATACGATGGCGGAGTTCCTGCCTCTTTGCGACGTACTCTTCAATGTCATCTCCCTGGCAGGCTACTTTTGCGACGTCGTGTTCGACGTAGTCATGGGATACGCTCTTCTGGAGCGGGGCTATAAGGGCACGTTCGCAGCCACAATATCTATAGTTGTTACGTCGTTATTAATATCTCAGGTATGGTAGTTACTACAATTAAAATTCTTAATTATTTTTATTGTTACTATAACATTTAACCAATTTTAAACAAAGTGGCGGTGTAATGATATCCACTACCCCATATTGTCTCGTGGGTGCGACAGGGGAAAACTGAAACAGGAGATGAACAGCAAGCAGCATCTACTTAAAAACAAATCAAAACAATAGACAACTATGACAAAATCACACCTATGAGGCGATCTATATGGGAGGCCTATGTTCAGCAGTGGACATTTATAGGCTGTAATGGGTGGAATGAATATTAACATTGTTACGTATATATGAATTAGTCAGAGCATATGCTTTCTAAGATTACAACTTTGGCAATTATAATCGGCGATAATTCAACACGGACATAATCCATCAATATATGTTTTGAACGATTATTCATCTCAAATACTTCTATCCTCTCTACTATGATAGAGGCCCATGTCCATTACAGGACTTTTACGGATTAATATAATAAAAGAAGAAGAAATTATGTTGTCACATCCATTGAACCTGTTAAAATGTATTAATAGGTAAAAATAACACGCCGCCAAATTCCAACAACGCACATCGCAAAAAATTCCCAACACCATAAACACCATCTGGATTACAGGTGCTATCCCTTCGGTGGTATTTACACGTATGGTGGGCGGGAGAAGGACGCAAGGGTCGTCCGCCATGGTTGCCCATACTTCTTCACTGCTTGCAAGTCGGCGTGCTGTGGAGATACGCCCGTCTGCTTGTGCCAGTTGAACTACGTCGCGTTAAGCACCAAGTACGAGATCTTTGTAAGTGTAAATTGAAGTTTTTTTTTTGTATATACAATCATTAACAAAATCAACATGCCTTTTAATAGATGGTAAGGCTCCCTTTCCTGCGTGGAGGACGTCTGGGTAGCACATTCACTGCTGTGTTCCGGTTCGGATGGTATAGATCAGTATTTATTAACATGTGGTCCGCGGAACCCAGGGGGTCCGCGAGTATAGTCCGCAGTCTCATCTCTAGACTATTGAACAATAACAAAAAAATGCCACCAAACGTTGCTTACCCTCTGTGAAAAGGCATTCCTTGCTCTTGTATACCTACACTGAAACAAACACAGAAACAGATTACAAGTGGAATCCTATTAGAGAACACAACATTGTAGTAACATCAACCTGCATATTACTAATTTATTTGCAAAAAAGCAATAACAACCTTCACATTAAGAATCAAATGCCAACGCATTTATAATAACAAAAATAATTCTGTACGAGGTAGAGCCATGCCGCAGCTATATTAGTAGTATAGTTGTAGCACGAATGGGTCGGCTCGACCGGGGAAGGAGCACGCTCTCACAGAATACCAGCGTAAAATAGCAGCTTGACACTGTTGTGTTTCGTATGGTGAGTGTAGAGAACCGGAGACCGTTTTTACTGGAAAAGAGGCATTCCATCTTAGTCCTCACGGGTAACAACGCATCTGCATTTTGATTCGCAGACAAGGATAAATATGGATAGATGTCTATGGGCCGCACCAGCCACTTGCCATGAGGTGGACTATGCTCGTTTGTCACCTTACCCTATAATATTTTTTTAAATAAAACCAACGCTGTTTCTTCTGCATATCAATGATATGTTGCTAACTGGTAACATTCATTGCTATGCGGATGACAGCACTGGTGATGCTCTATACACCGGCCGGGCCAATATTTCTCGGGAAAACGTCGCCGAGTACCGGAACAAACTTGTGTCTGAAGTCGAGTCTTTGCTGGACAAAGTCTCGGATTGGGGGCGACTAAATCTAGTCCGGTTTAATCCTCAGAAGACACAAGTTTGCGCGTTTACCGCTAAAAAGAACCCCTTTGTCGTATCTCCTCAGTTTCAAGGCACTCCCCTTCTTGCCTCAGCCAGTATCGGTATCCTCGGAGTCGACATATCGAGCGACGTGCAGTTTCGTGGTCACTTGGAAGAGAAGGCCAAATTGGCCTCTAAAAAGCTTGGCGTGCTCAGCAGAGCGGGACAGTATTTCATGCCGGCACACCGCCTACAACTTTACAAGGCGCAGGTTCGGCCTCACATGGAATACTGTTCCCATCTCTGGGCAGGGGCTCCCCAGTGCCAGCTCCTTCCACTTGACCGCATCCAGCGCAGAGCGGCTCGAATCGTCGACGACCGAGCCCTTTCCGATCGGCTCGATTCATTGGCACTGCGAAGAGATGTTGCATCTCTTTGCATTTTCTTTCGCATCTACCATGGGGAGTGCTCTGAGGAATTGTTCGGATTAATCCCAGCCGCCAAATTTCATGAACGCACATCGCGGCAGAACTCCCGATACCATCCACATCATCTGGATGATTGGTGGTCCACCACTGTGCGATTTAGAAGATGTTTTCTTCCTCGCATGACTTCCTTGTGGAATCGATTACCATCAGCGATTTTTCCGGACCGATACGACTTAGGGACCTTCAAGAAAAGAGCCTACTCCTTTTTAAAAGGCCGGCAACGCATCTGCAATTCCCCTGGTGTTGCGGTTGTTCATGGGCGGCGGTAGTCACTTACCATCAGGTGAGCCGCATGCTCGTTTGCCCCCTCTCCTATAAAAAAAAAAATTCTTAAAAAATTTTGCAGTACTAAAATAAATGATCCGAAATTGATTGCTGCTTTTTTAACTTGATATTTGCGCTTGATTTCCCAGGGGTCCGTGGCTCAAAAAGGTAGGGGCTCAGGGGGCTCAAAAACTCTGGTACAGAGAGCCAGTATAATTACATTAATTACAATTAATTGCTATAAGGCTTCAAGCCTTCAAGGTTCAATCTTAGTCCTTAGAAGTGACAACGCATTAATGTTAAATGTATAGTGGCGACGTATGAATATCCACTACCCCATATCGTCCCGTTGCTGTCGTAAGAGGCGACACAGTGAAAACTGCGGTTGCGAACCGTGGCAACTATATATTGCATTGAGGCAATCCATGGGGAGGTCTATGTTCAGCAGTGGAAATTTACAGGTCGTTTTGGATTGGATTAATTTTCGCACTTATGACCTGCAGACCACTTTAGAGACAAATTCCTCTATAATACTTATAAACAATTTATTACTTTTATTTTGAGATAAAAAAAAATCGAGGTGATGTGATAGTAAGTCTTGTAATCCTTCCGCAGGCATGCTGCGCTTGGTGCATGCATTCTGTGAGGCGGCGCCCATGTTGCTGCTACAGCTGCACATACTGCTTAAGGATACGACCAGCGAACCGACCAACGAACTTGGTGTTACGCCCGAGCCAAGTATTGATGAGCCATCGGGTAAGAGTAATCATCGGTGACATTTTTTTCAATTGTAAGCTGTCTTCTTTATATTTGCACAAACCTAGAAACATTATCTTGTTTTATGCTCAATAGATATCTAAGAAACGTCTCGTACTCCTTTCAATCTTCTTTATATTTGTACAAAGCCAGAAACATTTTGTTGCTTATGCTCAATAGATATCTAAGAAACGTCTCGTACTTCGTTCAATCAATATCTTAAAGAAGCTTAGTGATTGATCGTTCTTCGTTACGATGCGTTTAATTTGTAATAAATAAATGAAGCAGTGAAAAATTACCCGAAATTTGGGAAATTTTTCATTTTTTCCCACGTCGGAACAGATACGTTATATATATATATATATATATATATATATATATATATATATATATATATATATATATATATATATATATATATTTGTGTGTGTGTGTGTGTGTGTGTTTGCCCTAAGAGGTTGTTTTTGTGCATTTCTTTTGTTACCATTTTACTATAAAATGTTTGGAGCGATTATAATGCGCTTTTTTGCATTAGATATACCGATATAGCTTCTGAGGTTTATGATAAAAAAATTGTACAAACAAAAAGCAATTTCGGTTCATACGTAAAATCATTTTTCGGTTCCCTTACAAAAGTTCCCTAACATTCGATTACATAATACTTAATTACTTATTTATGATTTTCTTTCCAATTACATAATTTAACTTCTGTATGATATAATAAAATTCATTTAAATCAATACGTTTTTAATATCCAAGCGTTTGAAATATTTTATTTATTTATTTAATTATTCTTTATTTCATTGCAAAAAAAAATAATGCAAAGTGCGGACTTAATGCCTTGAGGCATTCTCTACCCGTTAACCCAGGAAGTAGTGAGAAATTGACGTAGGTGTAACAATATCGAATAAAAAACTAATTAAAAATAATAATTACCCACGTAATATATACATTTTACAAATAAATATATACATACTTATATAGAAATATATACATATTTATATACATATATAATTAGTACTTACAAATAACTATGAATATATACATCTGTTTAGCAATATAGAAGGTTGTTTTGCAATAACTGGCTAAATGAGCAATATAGGCGAATGGTGAAGATAAATTAATAAAAAAAGTCTTTTACTGCGCACGCACACATTCGTAAGTGTCAATCGGTAGGCAAAAACATTGTTGCCCATAAATCACATTCAATATAGGATAATTTCAAATAAAAGTAGAAACTTTATTTAATCTTATTTTCTAAAACTGCAAGCACAGTATATCATTATTTATATATTTGATTGTTTTATAAAAAATATGGGGAAATTTGGTTTCACATGACAACCCTTTATTGCACGCAAACATACACCGCCGCCATTGCAGTGCACGAGTTCTTCGTTAACAAAATTCTGTCTTTGTTAAAAAAATGTTAAATTGCGGGGACCATAGAAAAATAATAAGGAATATAATATAAGAAAATGATTTAATGGCTTCCGATATGTGGCGGTACAACCATCACTTTACGCCAGGTGTAAAATAATCAGCAGTGTCACGAGGAACAGCGTGAAAGGTGCAGCTTGCCAAGCCTAACGATTAGGGCAAATCCTGCCTACAACGAGATAGGTCCATATCCAGCAGTAGAATTTTAAGGGATGATGAAAAAGAAGGTCTCTTGCAGCGAACAAGGCGTTTGCTGAGCTGAACGTGATATCAGCGTCACTTTCGCTGTTCTCTGTCTGCTGGGCGCTGGCCAGCTTCAGCAAGAACGTGCGCCTTCAAAACGTGCATAGGCTTGTTCTCACTTGGCTCGGCGTCATCTTCCAGGTACGTCCAAAATGAAGGTCTTTACTATTAGTTGTTATAAGTTATATATGGAATTAAAAATTCATAAAGACGCGTATTCGCAGTAGGGATCTTCTTGTATACTCATCTATATATGTAATTGTTGATATGTTTTAGCGTTTATATATTGCAGCTGTATTAGCAGCATGAATGGGTCGGCTAGACCTAGGAAAGACAATCTTAGTATACCAGCGTTAAATAGTCACATAATGCGTTTCATATGGTAAATAACGAGAACTGGATACAATATTTAATTGGTAACGATGCCACCTTAGTCCTCGCGGGCGTGTGCATCTGTATTTTGATTTTTATATACACAGTATGTTACCGCCCACAGTTGCCCCAACAGAAGTCGACTGGACCAGGGCCCATGAGTGATCTCCTCGACGAGCAACCAGAGAGTTCGGGCCCAAATGGCCTATGGATTATTATTAACTAATGGCTGATAAGCAAACACAAACTTACCGAGTTTCGGAGGTAGGGTCGACCACAAGGCAAAGTCAGGTGGTAAGTAAGTGGATGTAAAGTGGTGTGTGAAAGTGTGTAGATGTAACCTGACGTCACCGATGTAATCTGACAGCAGACCCACAGGCGCTGCTTTTCTCCACAATGTGCCTCGCCCAGGCGACCGACCCTTCGGCAATTTAATCTACCTACCCGAAATACCTGACGCGAAGGTACCTAACCCTAAACTCCTGCTTGCGCAGCCTAAAGGGCGTGGTTTTAACTACCGATCCGCTAACAAAACAAAAAAAAAACAAAAAGAAAAAATATATTTTTTTTTGTATATTACGGCCGGGCGTGATTGCAGAAACAATCAACCACGCTCTGCTACCAGAAAATGTTACGGCCCTCAGTTGCCCTGACAGAAGTCGACTGGACCAGGACCCATGAGTGATCCCCTCGACGAGCAACCAGAGGGTTCGGGCCCAAATAGCCTATGGATTATTATTAACTGATGGCTGATAAGCAAACACAAACTTACTGAGTTCCGGAGGTAGGGTCGACCACAAGGCAAAGTCAGGTGGTAAGTAAGTGGATGTAAAGAGGTGTGTGAAAGTGTGTAGATGTAACCTGACGTCACCGATGTAATCTGACAGCAGACCCAGAGGCGCTGCTTTTCTCCACAATGTGCGATCCCTCCAGTTTGCGTACACCAATTGAGACTTTCTGCTTTTATTTCACTATATTAGTTTATCAACTTTATTGTACATTTAATTAACTTTAAATTTAACTAAATCAACGTTAATCGAACTTAAAACAAGTGATACACTGCGCAACTTAAAAACTGTCGTTCAAAGTTCAATGTCCCATGTTCACTTAGCACCAAATTATCATCGAGCACAAACGCGATCTCCTCTCGAGTCACAAAGTTTTAGCGTTCCACCCGACAAAGCAAAAATTCCTTCGTACGATATTAAAATGCCACAAAAGCAACTCGTCGACGCAAATTAATGGTAATCGAAGTTAATTTATTCACTCAAAACTATTACAACAAGAATTATAATAAGACAAGCCTCGTTGTCACGTAAAACGCACGAGATTAGACAATGCTATTAGAGGCGGTTCCGAGCGTAAATTTTAAACCGTCTAACCGACACGGCGGTCGCTAACAATTAATTTCGCCCACAAGTCGAGCGACCGAGCAGTGACCCGAGAGACCCGCGCGGGAGAGGGGGCCGGCGGTGACCTTTAAATTCCATCGGACGAACACGCCGAGACGTGCGTCTTGAATGCAAGTTTTTTAAATGTTAACATTTGGCCTAAACACAGTATATAACTACGTACAAGGGGTATGAAATCAGGACGTCAAACACCTCAGCCCTCTCGTGACCATGGGTGCTGCAAAACACCCCAAACGTCGAGAACTAAAAAAAAGTTAACATTAAAGGCTGTAAAAATCCGTCAAATTTATTTTATTTAAATGTGTAGTATCCGCGTAAATAAAAAAAAATTATTATGTAACAAGTTAACTGCTGAACATGAACCGCTAGCCACCATCTCATATATACAAGACATGCAGGAAGTCGATGGATGCAGGTGGCCCAAGAGCTTGTTTCCTGGCATTCCTTGGGGGAGGCCTATGGCTGAAAAGGAGTTAAAGAAAGAAAATATAAATTTTACAAGAAAATTTATAGGAATATTGTTTCTAATGTTGCATTAAATTGCAATGTTAATAAATTAATAAATTTATAATTGGAAGTATAGACTAAAAATGAGTTGGGGGGTAACTCGAACTTTAGGCCTAGTCAGTTTGAATAGCCTATCATGTAGAGGATGTCATGGGGGTCATGGTTGAATAGAATCAAAAAGTTCTCATTTCACTCCCATGGGGTCAAAATGGCCAAAAACAAGTTTACAAACATAAATTGCACAAGGACAAACATCCAGACCCGGAACAATTATTTGTAGGCCATACAAATACTTGTTCCTTGCGGGATTCGAACCCGCGGCCCTTAGCACTGCAACTCAATTGCTAAGTCACTGCACCACGGAGCCGTCACCATACGAAAAATAGCAACTCATCGCTGCTGTGTTTCGTATGGTGAGTTTAGAGATCCGGATAACGTTTGTACTGGAAACGAGGCATTCCATCTTAATCTGCACGGGTGACAACGCATCTGCATTTTATTTCGTAATCGAGGATAAATGTAGATGTCTACGGACCATAGTAACCACTTACCATCAGTGGACTGCGTGCACGTTTATCACCCTTACCTTATAAAAAAAATCATGCGCCCGATCTCTCTCCGAGCGTGTCATGAAAGTAAGGGAGTTGAGAATGCGTGTGCTGGCGTATACACTCTTGCACTATAATTCAACGCAAATGGTTATTCTCCGTTGAGACTTCCCGCAGTGCCCGAAATTCGGCCTGGAAATCATTACATTAAAATACTATACAGTTTAGTATTAATAGAAAAGATAAAAATTATGTATTTATAATATTAGTACGCTTTTATTAGCTTCGCGTGTATCTTTTTTTTTTTTAAATATTAGTAATGTTATTAAACATTACTAATATTCCCTTGAACCACTTCTGGTAAGCTTAAAATGCTTGTGTTAGAAGTGGTTCACGACAGTAGTCGAATGGCGGATTCGAACCCACGACCTTTCGAGTTCGCGGTTCGTGCCCTGCCATTAGGCTACTGACGCTTAAATCGTATCTATCTATCTATATAACGGAATATTTTAATGTAATTTTCACCAACTTGTAGACGGCCAATTGCCTTGAAAATTTACACTCGTATCAAGGACCGATGACAATACAATAATTTAATAGTTTTATCCTAGTATCTGGATCAGAATCACCAGGTTAAAATAAAATATATATATATATTTTAATATTATGACCTAGTATTCTCAATAGAATCATTACAACTAATGCTCAATGCGTGTTATTTAAGTTTTTAAAATCAATATTATTATTTGCAGTTCCTATGGAGGCTAGGAACTATCTCTGCAAGAATTTGCGCCCTCACCGTGTACGCTCTAGTCTATGAATATTGGGTATTTTTAGTTATAGGTGAGTAGAAAACTTAGTAATGATTATAAAACTACCATCACTAGCACAAGTGTCATTATTACTCCTTGTATTACCTAGACGCTAATAATATATTCATTAATTATCCATCATTATTGAGCTATCTCTCTGAATCTGGACATTTTGCATGAAGTGTCTAAAACAATTGCTGATGCATATTTATTAAGTTTACTGTACATGTGATGGTTAGTGGCTACTGTAGCCTATAGGCACCTGCAATCGATTTTAAACAAATATATACCCCTAACTAAACACAAATTTTAAACTACTCCGTCACTGCGTTGTGACTTGGCTATTTAATTAATTATTTAATTAAAGCACGATAAAAATCACATTACTACAAATTACTACAGTATTAAGCAGAAAATGTTTTCTCATCGATATTAATGTAGAAATTCTATGTCAAAGTAACTATGATTAAGAAACACAAGCGGGCTTAGGATAGTGTCTTGAGGAACCACGATAGGCACAATTGTACTTTACATTAAATCTAAACAAAAACATCGTTAGTATTATAGTAGAAGTGTGTCATGTCGTGCCAAATGACAGTCAGTTTCGTAGGTTCTGTTGCATTTATGTATATATGTATATTTTTATATGTAGGTCTTCATTGGGTGTCGATGTTTCTATGGTTGATCTCCCCAAAGAACGTGTTCCACGGCGAGCGCATCAGCCGTCCACGTAAAGCGTACCTCTCCGCGCTCATCGCTTTCGTATACGTCTTTGCCTACGTCAACTTGCAGGAGCTCAACCACAGACAGAAGATGGTGAGTGACAGTGAATTTCACATGAAATAAAATGATATTTTGTTATTTCCGTTTGTATAAAGACACTATACACCCGCCTTTTTTTGGACTTAATTCATATACGTTTCGATTCTTTAGGAACAAAAATATTTTTCATGCAAACCACACTCGTCTAGTTGTAGGTGTGATTAATTGGGGAAGATATGGTACTAATGTTTAAGTTAATAATTAAGTACTAATATTTTTCTACATTAGATATTATTTCTTTTCATTACTATCATTGGAAGGATTTTGGTGCCACTGTACTAAATTGGTGAGTTAGTTTGTTACTTAAATTTCATTTAAAAAAATCTTCTTTCTTTTTTTATCGGCCTGTAATGTAATGTGTACCGATCAGTGCGAGATTAGTTTGCCGATGCATAGCGGCGTAAGAGAATTCGTCATATCGTTTCGTCCCGTGGGTGTCGTAAGGTGCAACTGGGTGGGTGATAATGTCATAAAAATCTAATGGCTTTTGATCGTGGTGATATATCGCTTTAAACAGACGTACTCGTAATACATACATACAGGCGATGTGTAGCAGTGTCAAATGTGCAAAAATTAAGAGTAGAGTGCCTTTTAACGAGAAAAACCTATGTGCCAGCAGTGGACTTTTACGAGTTAATGAAGAAGAAGTATATTTGTTATAGAATAAAGGAACAAACGAGCACGCAGTCCATTTAATAGTCAGTGTATTCGGTGGCTCAAAAATATCTACAACTACCCTCAATTAAGAATCAAAATGGATATGCGTTGCCACCACTGACGAATAAGATGGAATGCCTCGTTTTTCATTAAGTTATTATATCAAGCTAGTATTCTATGACAGTGTGCTCCTTTCACGATCGAGTCGACTCTTCGTGCTACAATCATAATATAGCTGCAGTAATCAAGAAGTACCAATAATAAGTTCTATCCATTCATCCATTACAGCTTATAAAAGTCCACTGATGAACACGGGACTTTTTTATAGATTGCTTTACAGGGCGGATTTGCCCATAGTTGCCACGTTAAACAGGCGGGTTGACAATCGTAGTTTTTGTTTCTTTATTCTTTTTAAAAAACGTTACCTCCACACTAGGATTTTCTCCTGTATCGTGGAGGCTGTTTACGAACACTAGCATAGCAGAATTGCACAAGGACAAACATCCAGACCCGGAACAATTATTTGTAGACCATACTAATACTTGTTCCGAGCGGGATATGAACCCGCGGCCCCGCAGCAACTCATTGCTAAGCCACTGCGCCACGGAGCCGTCAAATTAGTTTGAATTGTTATCAGGAAAATGCTGCTGGTTATCTTCTGTTTCAATTTCCCTCTATATAGTATCTTACGACACCCACGGACGATATACGGTAGTGGGTATTCTTACACCTATACTACAACAGTATAATAAAGGATTCATTTTATTTTTATTTATACTCCTGTTTTCACTACTACCAGATAATATAAAGCTATTTATTACAGCAAGAACTAAAAGTTTATTATTTTTTTAGTATATTTATTTTTGGTTGTTTGATTCGGTTTGTGTAACTTATTAAAACATCGTCAGGTGATCTTCTACTGCGTGATGTGCGTGGAGAACTGGTTGCTGGTGAGCGCGTGGTGGTGGTCGGGACGCGCGGCGCGGCCCGCCGCCACCGCCGCCGCCGCAGCCGCCGCCTTCTGCGCCGGCCTCGCCTTCATGCTGCTCTACTACAGGTGGGTGCTGTTGTACCGCAGCTGTGTCGCTGCTCTACTGCATGATGCCGCCACCGCCGCCGCCGCAGCCGCCGCCTTCTGCGCCGGCCTCGCCTTCATGCTGCTCTACTACAGGTGGGTGCTGTTGTACCGCAGCTGTGTCGCTGCTCTACTGCATGATGCCGCCACCGCCGCCGCCGCAGCCGCCGCCTTCTGCGCCGGCCTCGCCTTCATGCTGCTCTACTACAGGTGGGTGCTGTTGTACCGCAGCTGTGTCGCTGCTCTACTGCGTGATGCCGCCACCGCCGCCGCCGCAGCCGCCGCCTTCTGCGCCGGCCTCGCCTTCATGCTGCTCTACTACAGGTGGGTGCTGTTGTACCGCAGCTGTGTCGCTGCTCTACTGCATGATGCCGCCACCGCCGCCGCCGCAGCCGCCGCCTTCTGCGCCGGCCTCGCCTTCATGCTGCTCTACTACAGGTGGGTGCTGTTGTACCGCAGCTGTGTCGCTGCTCTACTGCATGATGCCGCCACCGCCGCCGCCGCAGCCGCCGCCTTCTGCGCCGGCCTCGCCTTCATGCTGCTCTACTACAGGTGGGTGCTGTTGTACCGCAGCTGTGTCGCTGCTCTACTGCATGATGCCGCCACCGCCGCCGCCGCAGCCGCCGCCTTCTGCGCCGGCCTCGCCTTCATGCTGCTCTACTACAGGTGGGTGCTGTTGTACCGCAGCTGTGTCGCTGCTCTACTGCATGATGCCGCCACCGCCGCCGCCGCAGCCGCCGCCTTCTGCGCCGGCCTCGCCTTCATGCTGCTCTACTACAGGTGGGTGCTGTTGTACCGCAGCTGTGTCGCTGCTCTACTGCGTGATGCCGCCACCGCCGCCGCCGCAGCCGCCGCCTTCTGCGCCGGCCTCGCCTTCATGCTGCTCTACTACAGGTGGGTGCTGTTGTACCGCAGCTGTGTCGCTGCTCTACTGCGTGATGCCGCCACCGCCGCCGCCGCAGCCGCCGCCTTCTGCGCCGGCCTCGCCTTCATGCTGCTCTACTACAGGTGGGTGCTGTTGTACCGCAGCTGTGTCGCTGCTCTACTGCATGATGCCGCCACCGCCGCCGCCGCAGCCGCCGCCTTCTGCGCCGGCCTCGCCTTCATGCTGCTCTACTACAGGTGGGTGCTGTTGTACCGCAGCTGTGTCGCTGCTCTACTGCGTGATGCCGCCACCGCCGCCGCCGCAGCCGCCGCCTTCTGCGCCGGCCTCGCCTTCATGCTGCTCTACTACAGGTGGGTGCTGTTGTACCGCAGCTGTGTCGCTGCTCTACTGCGTGATGCCGCCACCGCCGCCGCCGCAGCCGCCGCCTTCTGCGCCGGCCTCGCCTTCATGCTGCTCTACTACAGGTGGGTGCTGTTGTACCGCAGCTGTGTCGCTGCTCTACTGCGTGATGCCGCCACCGCCGCCGCCGCAACCGCCGCCTTCTGCGCCGGCCTCGCCTTCATGCTGCTCTACTACAGGTGGGTGCTGTTGTACCGCAGCTGTGTCGCTGCTCTACTGCGTGATGCCGCCACCGCCGCCGCCGCAGCCGCCGCCTTCTGCGCCGGCCTCGCCTTCATGCTGCTCTACTACAGGTGGGTGCTGTTGTACCGCAGCTGTGTCGCTGCTCTACTGCGTGATGCCGCCACCGCCGCCGCCGCAGCCGCCGCCTTCTGCGCCGGCCTCGCCTTCATGCTGCTCTACTACAGGTGGGTGCTGTTGTACCGCAGCTGTGTCGCTGCTCTACTGCGTGATGCCGCCACCGCCGCCGCCGCAGCCGCCGCCTTCTGCGCCGGCCTCGCCTTCATGCTGCTCTACTACAGGTGGGTGCTGTTGTACCGCAGCTGTGTCGCTGCTCTACTGCGTGATGCCGCCACCGCCGCCGCCGCAGCCGCCGCCTTCTGCGCCGGCCTCGCCTTCATGCTGCTCTACTACAGGTGGGTGCTGTTGTACCGCAGCTGTGTCGCTGCTCTACTGCGTGATGCCGCCACCGCCGCCGCCGCAGCCGCCGCCTTCTGCGCCGGCCTCGCCTTCATGCTGCTCTACTACAGGTGGGTGCTGTTGTACCGCAGCTGTGTCGCTGCTCTACTGCGTGATGCCGCCACCGCCGCCGCCGCAGCCGCCGCCTTCTGCGCCGGCCTCGCCTTCATGCTGCTCTACTACAGGTGGGTGTTGTTGTACCGCAGCTGTGTCGCTGCTCTACTGCGTGATGCCGCCACCGCCGCCGCCGCAGCCGCCGCCTTCTGCGCCGGCCTCGCCTTCATGCTGCTCTACTACAGGTGGGTGCTGTTGTACCGCAGCTGTGTCGCTGCTCTACTGCGTGATGCCGCCACCGCCGCCGCCGCAGCCGCCGCCTTCTGCGCCGGCCTCGCCTTCATGCTGCTCTACTACAGGTGGGTGCTGTTGTACCGCAGCTGTGTCGCTGCTCTACTGCGTGATGCCGCCACCGCCGCCGCCGCAGCCGCCGCCTTCTGCGCCGGCCTCGCCTTCATGCTGCTCTACTACAGGTGGGTGCTGTTGTACCGCAGCTGTGTCGCTGCTCTACTGCGTGATGCCGCCACCGCCGCCGCCTTCTGCGCCGGCCTCGCCTTCATGCTGCTCTACTACAGGTGGGTGCTGTTGTACCGCAGCTGTGTCGCTGCTCTACTGCGTGATGCCGCCACCGCCGCCGCCGCAGCCGCCGCCTTCTGCGCCGGCCTCGCCTTCATGCTGCTCTACTACAGGTGGGTGCTGTTGTACCGCAGCTGTGTCGCTGCTCTACTGCGTGATGCCGCCACCGCCGCCGCCGCAGCCGCCGCCTTCTGCGCCGGCCTCGCCTTCATGCTGCTCTACTACAGGTGGGTGCTGTTGTACCGCAGCTGTGTCGCTGCTCTACTGCGTGATGCCGCCACCGCCGCCGCCGCAGCCGCCGCCTTCTGCGCCGGCCTCGCCTTCATGCTGCTCTACTACAGGTGGGTGCTGTTGTACCGCAGCTGTGTCGCTGCTCTACTGCGTGATGCCGCCACCGCCGCCGCCGCAGCCGCCGCCTTCTGCGCCGGCCTCGCCTTCATGCTGCTCTACTACAGGTGGGTGCTGTTGTACCGCAGCTGTGTCGCTGCTCTACTGCGTGATGCCGCCACCGCCGCCGCCGCAGCCGCCGCCTTCTGCGCCGGCCTCGCCTTCATGCTGCTCTACTACAGGTGGGTGCTGTTGTACCGCAGCTGTGTCGCTGCTCTACTGCGTGATGCCGCCACCGCCGCCGCCGCAGCCGCCGCAGCCGCCGCCTTCTGCGCCGGCCTCGCCTTCATGCTGCTCTACTACAGGTGGGTGCTGTTGTACCGCAGCTGTGTCGCTGCTCTACTGCGTGATGCCGCCACCGCCGCCGCCGCAGCCGCCGCCTTCTGCGCCGGCCTCGCCTTCATGCTGCTCTACTACAGGTGGGTGCTGTTGTACCGCAGCTGTGTCGCTGCTCTACTGCGTGATGCCGCCACCGCCGCCGCCGCAGCCGCCGCCTTCTGCGCCGGCCTCGCCTTCATGCTGCTCTACTACAGGTGGGTGCTGTTGTACCGCAGCTGTGTCGCTGCTCTACTGCGTGATGCCGCCACCGCCGCCGCCGCAGCCGCCGCCTTCTGCGCCGGCCTCGCCTTCATGCTGCTCTACTACAGGTGGGTGCTGTTGTACCGCAGCTGTGTCGCTGCTCTACTGCGTGATGCCGCCACCGCCGCCGCCGCAGCCGCCGCCTTCTGCGCCGGCCTCGCCTTCATGCTGCTCTACTACAGGTGGGTGCTGTTGTACCGCAGCTGTGTCGCTGCTCTACTGCGTGATGCCGCCACCGCCGCCGCCGCAGCCGCCGCCTTCTGTGCCGGCCTCGCCTTCATGCTGCTCTACTACAGGTGGGTGCTGTTGTACCGCAGCTGTGTCGCTGCTCTACTGCGTGATGCCGCCACCGCCGCCGCCGCAGCCGCCGCCTTCTGCGCCGGCCTCGCCTTCATGCTGCTCTACTACAGGTGGGTGCTGTTGTACCGCAGCTGTGTCGCTGCTCTACTGCGTGATGCCGCCACCGCCGCCGCCGCAGCCGCCGCAGCCGCCGCCTTCTGCGCCGGCCTCGCCTTCATGCTGCTCTACTACAGGTGGGTGCTGTTGTACCGCAGCTGTGTCGCTGCTCTACTGCGTGATGCCGCCACCGCCGCCGCCGCAGCCGCCGCCTTCTGCGCCGGCCTCGCCTTCATGCTGCTCTACTACAGGTGGGTGCTGTTGTACCGCAGCTGTGTCGCTGCTCTACTGCGTGATGCCGCCACCGCCGCCGCCGCAGCCGCCGCCTTCTGCGCCGGCCTCGCCTTCATGCTGCTCTACTACAGGTGGGTGCTGTTGTACCGCAGCTGTGTCGCTGCTCTACTGCGTGATGCCGCCACCGCCGCCGCCGCAGCCGCCGCCTTCTGCGCCGGCCTCGCCTTCATGCTGCTCTACTACAGGTGGGTGCTGTTGTACCGCAGCTGTGTCGCTGCTCTACTGCGTGATGCCGCCACCGCCGCCGCCGCAGCCGCCGCAGCCGCCGCCTTCTGCGCCGGCCTCGCCTTCATGCTGCTCTACTACAGGTGGGTGCTGTTGTACCGCAGCTGTGTCGCTGCTCTACTGCGTGATGCCGCCACCGCCGCCGCCGCAGCCGCCGCCTTCTGCGCCGGCCTCGCCTTCATGCTGCTCTACTACAGGTGGGTGCTGTTGTACCGCAGCTGTGTCGCTGCTCTACTGCGTGATGCCGCCACCGCCGCCGCCGCAGCCGCCGCCTTCTGCGCCGGCCTCGCCTTCATGCTGCTCTACTACAGGTGGGTGCTGTTGTACCGCAGCTGTGTCGCTGCTCTACTGCGTGATGCCGCCACCGCCGCCGCCGCAGCCGCCGCCTTCTGCGCCGGCCTCGCCTTCATGCTGCTCTACTACAGGTGGGTGCTGTTGTACCGCAGCTGTGTCGCTGCTCTACTGCGTGATGCCGCCACCGCCGCCGCCGCAGCCGCCGCCTTCTGCGCCGGCCTCGCCTTCATGCTGCTCTACTACAGGTGGGGTGCTGTTGTGCCGCAGCTGTGTCGCTGCTCTACTACTACTACTGATCTACTGTAAGTGTAATGCTGATCTCTACAGGTGAGTAGCTGATTTACTGCAGATGTAATGCTGATCTACTGAAGATGTAATGCTGATCTACTGCAGGTGTGTTGCTGATCTACTACAGGTGTGTTACTACTCTTCTGTAAATGTATTGCTACTCTACTGCAGGTGTAATACTGATCTACTGCAAGTGTGTTGCTGATCTACAGCAGTGGTCTTACTGCTCTACTGCAGGTGTAATTCTGACCTAGTACAGGTCTTGTCTTCTTTTTCTATATTGATAGATTCTTTAAATTTTTACATAATTACTAGTATGTATCTGTATGTAGCTTTCTCTTTTTTTATAGGATAGGATGACAAACTAGCACACAGTCCACCTGATGGTAAGTGGTTGTTGTGACCCATAAACATCTACATCAATCCTCGCCTACATCATCATCTTTTACGAATCAAAATGCAGATGCGTTGTCAGCCTTGAGGACTAAGATGGAATGCCTCTTTTTCAATAAAAAGGATCTCTGGTTCTATACACTCACCATACGAAACACAGCAGCGTTAAGCTGGTATTTTGTGAGAGCGTGGTCCTTCCCCGGTAGAGCCGACCCATTCGTGCTACAACTATACTACTAATATAGCCGCAGCATGGCTCTACCACGTATTAAACCTGAGACCTGGGAGCGTTTTTGATTATCATTTTGTTGCAAAAATTATACATATTATTTTATTATTGGTTACGATAAATTACCACATTCTCAACCTTCTACTATATTACGAATTAAAGGAATAGAATAGATTAATATAATATAAATCAATAAAAATTACAAAAAGTTATATCTCACTTTATTGCTTTTCTATCAGGTACTTTCATGTCAGAAGATTGGGCTACATGTTAGGGGAACACCAACAAGGTACTAACAGTACGAACGCATCTTCACAAAACAAGAACGGTAAGTACTTATTTTCTCAGAGACCTTTTGCTCGAATCTGAATACATAATGTTTTGTATTTAGAAATGTCAAAATGGTGCTATATGACTTTAGTTAAATTCATAAAGTTTAAAGATATTTTTGTTCACATTAAAATGTATTCCGTAGTAACTTGTATTAATTCCCAGTGTATATTTAAACTGAACTGAACATAGACCTCCCCTACATATTGCCTTAAAGGGAGGATCAAATTTATACAGTCGATAATAAATTTTTGGTCCTTCGAGCAGGAGTAATCCAGACATGGCTTCTCCCATTGCAGGGAGCGTGTGGATTATTTACTATATTCGACTAATTGGTGGGCGTATTATCAATTTCAGTACTATATGTATCGCACCTTTGATGCTGCTCGCTATCGCCGATCCATAGCATTTTACATCTGACTTATACTAGAGCCGTGGTAGCTCACATGGTTAGCGCTCGCTGTAAGCTTCCCAGTACGCTAGCAACCCGGGCTCGATCCCCGCCGGCACCAATGAAATTGTCAATTGCAATTTTAAGTGCTGATTTACCACATGCTCGGCGGTGAAGGAGAACATCTTGATGAAACCTGCATGTCTGAGAAATAAGAAAAAAAAATATTTCAATGACATGTGAAGTTCGCTAATACGTATTGGGGCAGCGCGGTGGACATTTCCTTGCCCTAAAACCCTCTCAGAAATAAGAGGATTCCTGTGCCCAGCAGTGGGACGTAAATAGGTTGCAACTTTATTTTTATACTAGATTGTGTTACCGCCATCTATCGGACGGCTTGTAAATTTTCTGATATTTTCCATAATCGCCTCTTAGGACACTAACGGAACAATGTCACGACACACGCATTGATATAATTCTCAGAAATATTTTATTGTGTTCGTAACAACCAATAAAATTGTTATTCCACATGTTGCTTTTCGCTATTGTCCTTAATTAAATCGATGGTTGCAACTGTGTGAGAGAGGCAAAGATAGGTTATAAGCTACAAGTGGACATTATCAGGTAAAATCTCTCCTCCAACAGACAACGCGGCAATACCAGGAGTGTTCAACTGCCGCTTTTCGAATCCGGTCAACAACAGGTAATAAAAAATAATGGTATGGGAGAAATTTTAGTAAATTAATGTAAAACAGTATGTAACCCTTTATTATTGAGTAATATTTATCTAATTAATATTTATAGATTATATTTTTTTCTTCGACAGTTTTTACAAATTAATTTTTCACAGTGATATCTTATAAATTGCGTGGGTATATATTTTGAGAGAACCGGAGACCCTTTTCCTGGAGAGATTCTAAATGAGCTTAGATGTAGATTTATGGGGGCCACGGCTTACACTTACTATCAGGTGGAATGTGTGCTCTTTTGTCACCCTTATTTTATAAAAAATATATACAGGGTTATTTTCAAAGAGTAGCCAAATTTTTGAACTTAAATTCAAATATTATACATAAAGATATACCGTTATTGCAGTTTTTGAAAATACAAGTAAATAAGGCTTCTACTTTTATTTGAAACTATTCCAAATTGAAAGTGATTTATTGTGCCCACCGATCTACCCTTACGAATGTGTGCGTGCGCAGTAAAATCAATTAAAATAATGCATTACCACGCATTTTGAATTTAAAAGATAAAATGGACAGAATGTTTGAATTTTTTTTTAATTAATATTTCTTCACCATTTACCTATATTACTTATTCTGAACCTTCTCTGCAAATTTGACGGGTTATTGCAAACTAACCCTGTATATTCTTAATAATAAATTTCGTTAGATTTATTTCTTAAATTATTAAACATTCGTCATTTATAAAATAAAATAATATTCTAAGAAATAGTATATAAGTTTATTAATAAAACAGTGCGGCGAACGGTCGTAAAAAGAAGAAGCCGACGTCATTCGTGCCACCGCCGGCCGCCCCGCCCGCCGCCTTCTGGAGGCGGCCTCTTCCCGCCGCACACAATCATCATGTATGTGTTAATATTATATATTCACTGTGACTTAATAGAAACACTTACATAAAAAGTTCATTTTTTTATTCATTACAAACTATTTAAAGCTCACAGCTGAACAATAGGCTCTCCCCATACACTGCCTCGTTGTGGGAATATTGGTCATATTAGCCACGTTTGGTCTGCGAGTTGGAAACCACATCTTTTTATATTTTTTAAGTTTTTATCGGGAAGATGTTGCCGACTTTCTCCTGTTTCATATCCCTTTGTTGCCTTTACAACATCCTTGAGATGATATGGGGACGGTATGGAGCTCTTAGATGCAAACATAAATTATTATTGCGGGTTTCTAATATTTCTGATTGAGCGAAAAATATTAATTTTTGAAGTAACATGAACTTTTCTTAAGGCTAATTGTCGCCCGTTACTGAGTCCAAAGCCTTAACGCTATATTAATATGAATACTAGGGTTGCGCATTTTGTTGAATACGATAGTGTTTAATAAAAGTCGTGATTTAGGTACAAAATGATATTTATGATAAAACTAAATAAACACGACCCTAAAATTTAAACATAATACTTATTTTTTTGCGTGGTAGAGCTATGCTGCAGCTATATTATGGTTGTAGCATGAATTGGTTGCCTCTGGGTGGGACCACGCTCTCACAGCATGCCAGCGTAAAATAGCAGCTCAGTGCTGCTGTGTTTCGTATGGTAAGTGTAGAGAACCAGAGACCATTTTTACTAGAAACGACATTCCGTGTTAGTCCTCAGGGAGGACAACGCATTTGCATTTTTGATTCCTAATCGAGGATAGATGTGGATGTCTATGGGCCACAGCATCCACTTACCATCAGGTGGACTATGCTCATCCGTCACCCTTATACTATATTAAAAAAATTCAAACAAGTAATATTTATTTACAATACTTTACTAAAACCAGTTAATAGTTTATGTATTATTTATAATTAGGGAGGTTCATCAGAAAATGAAGGCTCGAGCGTAGGCTCTCGTGTCAACATCCAACAGAAACTACAAGAGAAGAAACAGAAACAGCTCGCAGAGTTACGCGTTATAGAGGAAGAAATTAAACAAGGCAAACTCGCCAAAACCACTCCGGTCGCCGCCGAAGAAATATACAGCAGTCTACAAAGACAACCCATTCCTAGAGCAAAGACACACGCTGAACCGCCAGCGTGGCCTAGCATAGAAATGACCCATTCCTATCAAAATTACCCAGTGCTGCCACACACTTGCAACTTGTACCCGACGTACACGGAAATAAAACCAGAATACACCGCCCAGAACTTCCAAAACAACGACGCGGCCTCCCAAAACGATATCAAAATGCGTATTCCGAATATATATAACCAGGAAACGAGAGGTTTTTACGAGAATCCAGCGAATGTAAGGGGAGAAAACAGGGTCCTAATACGCTCCCCCAACTATCTCGCCTTGAGCGAAACCAGAAACTACGAGCCCAACGCGTGCCGCAGTCCAAGAAATGTAATCAACAGTAGCCCAAGAAATAATTACATACCCGATGTAAATACCAGCAATTACGAAACGAGCGTCTTAGAAAAACCAAGGATACCAAATCCGAACGCGACAAGTATATACTCGGAGGATCACAGACCGAGTCTCGGCGAATTTTCTGGTTATTGTGAGGGTGGGGGTCAAAGCGTGTACAATAAATATGGGGAGACCAAAGACGAGTACATTTCAGCTATCCACCCTGCCCTATCGAATGTTCAAAGTATAGACAATGTTAGGAGTATTTATAATGAAGTTGGTTCGTGTAACCAGTATGGACAGAACTGCGACAGGATGCCCCCTTATCCAGCGATAGCGGGGAAAAAGATGGAGCAGATGAGAAAGATGCAGAGGTGTCGGACTCCGGAGATTCTTTTGGCGCCGCATTACCTAGAAGGTTGCAGTAGGCCAGTGTGCTGCCATTGGAGCGGATCTTACACGTAAGTTACCAATTATAATTATTTACTATTTTTATTTATTAAAATTCCATAAATTTTTAACCATTAGTTCTATACTTGCTTCTTGGCCAGAGAGTGAAATATATAATGATTTGTATTATCATACGCAAATAAATAAATAAAAAAACATGCGTGAGTGTTGTGGAACACTCGGTTGGAACGAAGTTTCTTTCATAGTATATTATTAATAAGAAAAGTATTATATTATTGATTAACAAAATAAATACAAACAAATGAATTACTAGCGTCTATTAAAATGAAGCGTCATTTAAAATTAAAATAAAGTTCCTTTCGTAGTATATTATTATTGATAAACTTATTATATTATTGATTAACAAATATAAACAAATAAGTAATACAAATAAAAAATTTTTGCACACCAGGGGTAGTGACGAAAAAAATCTTACACTTTTTGTCGCCTAGCTCCCATCCGCCAAACCTGTACCGTCCGATAAGGAACTTTGTTCCAAAAATTATGGATTTTATCACGTTTAATTTTAACTTATTTTAGTAGCAGGCTTTTTGAGAGAGTGCTGTAGAAGCACCAATAGTACCATACTTTGGCCAACGTGCAATAATGTTTTTTATAATTTATAATAATTGCTTGTTTCCCGGAGCAGTAAAAAATATAAATTCTTATGATAAATAGCAAATCTCTGATTGCATACTACTCGGGCTTCTATAAGTATAATAATGTAATAGTAATATTACATATGTATCTTTTTTGCTATTTTGTAGTATGAACTAAAAAAACCTCACGTTACATATGGCTAGTAGGTTATAACTAAACGAGAGGGCGCCGCTATGATCACGTATACAATTACGGCACTAATGCCCTGTGCAATGTACTATAATATATGTTGAAAGTTATCTAGAAATTTCTCTGGATATCACTATGTAACAATGCAAGTGGTGAAAACGAACTATTATTATTATGTGGTATCTATAAAGTTTTCTCATCTGGTTGGGCAATATAAATATATAATTGAAAATGAAAATGATAAACTTACATAAATATCAATAAAATAAAATAAATGCATAAAAATTACATAAATATATAAAAACCCAACCAGATGGAAGCCCTCGGCAGGGGAGACCAAACGGCCGAGGGTTAGGGGGAAAGGGAAAGAAACCGGCGGACGATGCCTGCGGTATCGAGGAGCACCGCCTTCTGCATTTGAGCTTGGAGCGATCCGTCACAGAGTCCCAGTCGCCTCAGATGACCCGAGAGGCTGACTGGGATTAACCCGTTCGCAGAAACGACCACAGGAATAATTTCGGCCGGCAAACCAACCCACATGTCGGTCACCTCGTGAGCCAGGTCCAGATATTTTGTCAACTTATCTGTTTCGGCTTTCACGAGGTTCTCGTCATAAGGAATGGTAATGTCGACCAAAATTATTCTTGACTGTGCCCAGTCCATCAGCACAATATCAGGCTTATTCGCAAGAATAGTCCTGTCTGTGATGATGGCCCGGTCCCAGTAGAGCCTGACGCGGTCATTTTCGGGCACGGCTTCTGCCGGAAGAGCCTTCTGCCTGAGTAATTATAATATGGCAGTTTTTGATCCACGAGACCGTATTTCAGAGCGAGCTCCTGGTGTAGAATCCTGGCTACTAGGTTATGTCTGTGCAAATACTCAGAGTTAGAAAGCGCCGAACAACCGGAGGCGACATACCTAAGTGACTCAGCAGGATGGCGACAAGCTGGATAAATGTCGACGGCGCCATCCTTTAGGATGTATTTCCGATAATTGTTGGTCTTAATAACCTGATCTTGTGTCGCACAGACAAAACCCTCGGTTTCCCCAAAGAGGTCACCGAAACGTAGCCAGTGGAAGGAGGCGACTACGTCTGCGCAAGGCTCATGTAGAGCCTTGTAGAACCTCCCGTGGAGCTCCTTCTCCTTCCATACGGTCTCCCGGTGTTCTGTGCTGCCGGTTCTTGCCATTGCTCGTTGGCTAAGGATAGAAGGGTAAGTCCTTTATCACAAGAAATAACGTCCCTATAGAATGGATCATCCGCTCTCGTCAGAAAGTAATTACGGAGGCTGCACACTTCGCGATTATGTATGGTAAGCGCACTTAAAAAGCCGCGTCCACCATGCTTCCGCGGCAAGTACAGCCTCATTACTGACGATCTCGGATGATGCATCCTGTGGGACGTCATAATAGTGCGGACTTTTCTATCCAGAGCGTTCAGTTCGGTCTGAGTCCACCTGAGTATGCCAAATGTTTACATGAGAGCAGGCATGATCCAACCGTTATATGCATGTGTCTTATTAACGCCCGACAAAAGACTGTTAAGCACTTTTGTCAAGCGTGCATAAAACACACCGCAAACTGACTGTTTCATGTCCGCCTCATCGATTCCTATGTTCTGTGACATACCCAGGTATCGGTATGTTTCAGCCTCGGATAGGGTCTTTATGTTGATGGGCATAGATAAGTCTATGCCCTCAGAGTTAGCAACCCTACCCCTTTCGACATGTAGGACCGCACACTTATCCGTCCCCAGCTCCATTCTAATAGAATTGCTAAAATCACAAGTGATATTTAGCAATTCCATAAGATGAGAGCGACTGGAGGCGAATAACTTGAGATCATCCATATAGAAAAGGTGGGTCACTTTTGTACCTCCTCTCCGAAGCTGAAATCCCCTCCCGGAACCCTCTAGTAAGGTACTAAGAGGGTTCAGAGAGAGGCAGAAACAGATTGGACTCAAATAATCGCCCTGGAAAATACCCCTTCTTATCCTTATGTGGTTCTCCGCAGCCATCATCCGCTCGCCTAGATGACAAAAGATCGTACTTCACTGCCTCATATACTGCCCGAGGAAGTCTCGAACTGTACAGTCAACCTTGTACAGCTCGAGGACCCTCTTAAGCCATGTATGAGGCACCGAGTCGAATGCCTTTTTGTAGTCTATCCAGGCGGCGGAGAGGTTCCGACGGTTGCGTTTAACCACCTTGCCAATGACCGCGTCAATGAGGAGTGGTTCCTTGGTTCCACGACCACCGCCCCGACATCCATTTTGAGCGCGCGACATCACCTGATTTGAGTTCAGGTGACGAGTGATTCTCGCGCTCAAAATGGATGTTAGTGTCTTGTATATGGTAGGTAGATACGTTATGGGGTGGTATTTGTTTGGGTCTGTGGAGTCCCGGTCTTTAGGAACCAAATGAGTGATCCCAATAGTGAAGAGGCTCGGGAGCGACTTCTGGTCGAGAGCATCTTGAAACTGTCGGGCGAGCACAGCGTGACACACCACGAACCCCTTCAGCCAGTAGTGATGCAGCCCGGCGAGCCCCGGACTTTTCCAGTTCGGGGCCCTACGGACCGCCTCAACTACGTCATCCGGCGTTATGATGACGGGGTCCATGGGCGTAATATTCACACACTGACTCGCCACAACTTCGGTCCAAGGGCCCTCACTGTGGTTTACGGGCTCTGACCACAGGCCGCGCCATAATGCGATAGTGTCGGCCTGATTCGGTGCTGGGCCCGTTCCACGTACCATTGGCCGCTCCAATGATTCATAGAGCCTCTTCTGATCACTCTGAAAGAGACGATTCTGGTTGAACCGTGTCGACCTCTCGTTATATCGCCGAATCTGCTTCCCCCAAGCAGCGATTCTCTGCTTCAGGTCGCCTATGCGCTCTAATTCTCGGCCTATTATTGCCCGACCTGAAGCTTATTAGCCTGCCGATGAGGGCCCTTGTCTTTACGATACGGTCCTCAATCCTTCTTCTCTACGCTGGGATGGCGATACTTTCCAGCCGTGGGAAGTTTGGCGCCAACAATACGGCAAACTGCCAGTGCGGCGCCAAAAAGAATTGAGTCCGTCTCGCAAAGGTCCCGACTGGCTTCCAAATAGGTCACCGGCATTGGGTTGAGAGCCCTCACGACAGCCCGATTCCGCTTGCTTAGGGGTATGCGCGGGAGTCGCGGTCGATTTTCGAGAGGCGTAGTGCGCGTTTCCACAATCGCCTCCTCCAATTTACTCCTCATCTGCTCTAGTTCTTGGGTGACCATTCCATCATCGCCTGAATCAACCAGAGCGGGGAGATCCATGGCGCCCTCTATATGTGGCTGCTGGTCTGTGGCCTGAGGAGCCGCATCCCCAGCTATAGCTGGTTCATTCGATGAGGGAATAGGCTCACGCTGTAGTCGTTCGAGTTCGGCATCATCAAATATTAAAAAATATATTATTATGAAGGGTAACCAACAGGACCCTATTAGTAAGCCTCCGCTGTCCGTCTTGTCTGTCTGTCAACGGGCTGTATCTCGCGAACCGTAATAGGTAGACAGTTCAAATTTTGATAGAAATAATAAACATTTAAATAAATTAAAAATTAAAAGGGGCTCCCCAACTAAAAAAAACATGTATTACGATGGTACGGAACCCTTCGTGCGCGAGTCCGACTCTCACTTAGCCGGTTATTATTAAGCCTTTTTATGTACTTTTTTTTTAAATTGAAGTGACTATCGTACTAACAGTCTACTTGATGGTAATTGACTACTGCCGTCCAAGGACACCTGCAACCAACTTTTTTTATAAAGGCTACCGAGGTTTAATCAGTGGCGTAGCTACCCAGGGGCAAGGCGCGGCAGTGCCCCGGGGCCCCCAAGCTAAAGGGACCCCTTGGCCTCCAAGAACGACATTTGAAAAATTATGTACAATCCTAGTTGTATAAAGAATTTTCGAGTTTTAACATTTTGGCCCCTGACTACGAATGGCTCGAACTGAAATCACAAAAATTACTCACACTTCCAGAACTTAAATATAACATTGTTAAAGATAATTGTCTATTGCGTTTTATTGTCTTTGTTATATAGAAGACGTGGCCAAACGAGCATGCGGCTGACCTGATGTTTAAAGCCTATTAACAAATACGCCACCAGGGGAATCGTAGGCTTACGAGCTTACTCCTTTTTAAAAAGACGTTGCCGGCTCTTTAAAGATGAGTAAGCTCGTTTCTTGAAGGTCCATAAGTTATATCGGTCCGACAGTAGTGAACCGCCAAACATCCCGATGATGTGGATTTGTAAAATGCGTTGATGAAATTTTGTGGCTGGAATTAATCAGAAAAATTCCTCTGAACACTTCCCGTGGTAAATGCAATAGAAAATGCAAAGGGATGCAACATCTTTTCATCTCGTCTCTCACCTTCGTCGGTCGTCGACGATTCGAGCTACTCTGCGCTGGATGCGGTCAAGTGAAAGGAGCTGGTACTAGGGAGCCCCGAGCCAGGGATGAGAACAGTATTCTACGTTATGCCGAATCTGCCCCTTGTAAAGTTGCAAGCAGTGTGCCGGCATAAGATACTGTCCCGCTCTGCTGAACACGCCAAGCTTTTTAGAGGCCAATTCAGCCTTCCCTTCCAAGTGACCACGAAACTGCATGTTATTCGATATGTTAACGCCGAAGATTCCGATATTGGCTGAGGTAACAAGGGAAGTGCCCTGACATTGAGGAGTTACGACAAAGGGGTTCTTGTTAGCGGTAAACGCGTAAACTTGTGTCTTCTGGGCATTGAACTTAATTATATTTAGTCGCCCCAATCCGAGACCTTATCCGGCAAAGACTCGACTTCAGACACAAGTTTGTTCCGGTACTTGGCTTCTACTACGAGTATGTTGCTCCAATCTGTAAGGAAACTGCTGATCCAGTTGCACATATTCTCGGGAAGCCCATAGGAAGGGAGCTTCGAAAGAAGCGCTTTGTGCCAAACCCGATCGAAGGCCTTCGCTATGTCCAAACTAACGGTCAGGGTATTCCTCTCTGCCTCCGCCGATATATAAGTCAGGTAAGCCAGAAGATCACTAGCTGAGCAACCCCGACGGAAATCGTACTGGCGGTCACTTTTCAGTAAGTGATCCTTTATTGATTTTTTGGTTTCTTATTTAATTACACTACCATATTAAGGGGGAGAGGAGTTTGGCGTCCGACCACCTGCACTTACTTGGCGAAGTAAACTTCTACTTCAAAAGGTGCCGTGTGGCTCTTCCAGTTTTCTCTTTCTCTTCCATATTTTGTGACCTTTGCAAGGTCTTCGACTGTGTTCACCATGAGACATTAATCAGAAAGCTACAGTACTATGGTGTCAAGAACACAGCGCTTAAATTTATTATTTCATATTTAAGTTATAGAATGCAGAAGGTTATTATCAATGGTAAAAGTTCTTCCGGGTCACCTGTTCTAATGGGTGTCCCTCAGGGCTCGATTTTCGGCCCATTCCTGTTTGTGGTGTATCTTAATGACTTACCTTCCCTTGTAGGCGATAATCATGATATAGTGTTATTTGCTGATGATACTTCCTTGATTTTAAACTTAAACGTCAATCATTTAAATGTGATGAAGTGAATAATGCTATATCAAAATTAGTGCATTGGTTTAACGTTAATAATCTACATTTAAACGGAGATAAAACTAATTGTGTTAAATTTACAACAACGAATGTTAACAATCTGAATACCAATGTGTTTTTAAATGGGAAGGAACTGAGCCCTGTTGTATCCACTGTTTTTCTTGGCATCACTCTCGACGCGAAGCTTCAGTGGGGCCCCCATATATCCAAATTAGCAAGCAGACTAAGTTCTGCAGCCTATGCTGTAAAAGAGGTTAGAGGTCTCACTAATGTCGAGACAGCTAGATTAGTTTATTTCAGTTATTTCCATAGCATAATGTCTTATGGGATTTTGCTATGGAGAAATGCGGCTAATTCAGAAACTATTTTCATTTTACAGAAGAGGGCCATTAGAGATATTTACAATCTAAAACAGAGAGGTTCTCTTAGAGATAAATTTAAAGAAATAAATATATTAACTTTGGCCTCTCAGTATATTTACGAAAATTTAATGTATGTTCACAAAAACGAAGGTAGTTTTAGTAAAAAAAGTGATATACATTCTGTAAACACTAGAAACAAACACAAGCTAGTGATACCAGTTTCTCGACTCCACAGAGTCAGTAATTCATTCTTGGGTAATGTACACGCTATTACAACAAGGTCCCGGAAAGTGTACAGGCTCTCTCTATTACCAAGTTTAAATGTTTTGTTAAGCTCAAACTGTATAACCACTCAGCTGTGAGAAACTTAAAATGAAAATTGTCATGTCTGTGTGGCTGAATTCTGCCACCTCACAGACGAGAGGATAAAAAGGGTTATTATAGTATAAATGAATACATGGTTCATAATAACCCCTGGGAATGAGGTGGTCGCTTCTAAGCAGTTTCTAAAATAAATTTTGTAAATAGTTTGTAATCATTTATATTGTAAAGTTTATTTTAAAAAAAATTCCCGCTGGGTATCTTGCTGGTTCTTCCCAGGACAGAGGTTATCGAACCAGTGGTAAAGTAAAAAATGACTTTCAATAAGAATAACACATATAATCTATATTGAATAAAAAATATTCTCTTCTATTCTATTCTATTCCATATTACTAACTGTAATCTACTTCGTCATTATTTATGCGTTACACATAATACTTAGTAGTAACTAGCTTTGCTCTATTATGCCCTGCAGTGGGCGACAAGGAACTGATGATGAAGTAGTTGTGCACCTTTAAAGTATTTAGTTTAGATTAAATAGGGTCCCAATTTCATGTTTGCCCCGGGGCCCTTGGTTACATAGCTACGCCGCTGGGTTTAATTACAGGCTGTGAGGCATTCCAAGAGATGGAATCCCTCACAACCTGTAATTATACTGATTCTCTATACACTACAGACCAGAACACGGCAGTGCATTCTGCTGCTTAACTGTAGAAATAGGTAAGAAGCTGGTAACTACTCAGACGAACTTCTAGGGAGAAAGAATCTTACAACCTGGCAAATAGTAATTATACTTTATATAAAACTTGAAAACGAGATTGTGCAACCAGTGCGTGTTGCCAGTGATGACTTATGGTCCTTCACTGCTAGCCGTATGAGGAAGCTCAAGGTCGCTCAGCGAGCTATGGACAGGGCCTATGCTTGGGGTTTCTCTGCGTGATAAACTTAGAAATGAGGATATCCGCATTAGAAGCAGAGTGACCGACATAGCCCAACGGATTAGAAGCTGAAGTGCCAATGGGCCGGGCATACAGCTCGAATCGAATGGCAGCCTCGTACCTGTAGGCGAAGTGAAGGCGACTCCCACAAAATGGAGTGACGACCTGGTAAAACATGCAGGAAGTCGATGGATGCAGGTGCAATGCAAGGTGGCTCAGGACTGTGCTTTGTGGCATTCCTTGGGAGAGGCCTACGTTCAACAGTGGACTTGTGAAGGGCTGTAATGATGATGATGATGATATAAAAGTGATAGTAGTACATGGGTGGGAAATTACATCGTTTGTACTATCTATAAAATATGATAAAATAATAATGTACTTAATTATGTTAGCATCAAAACATGATATAGAGGGATAAAAACAACTTGTAGCAACAGGAAAAAAGAAGATGGAATTGGAGTGGGTGTGGCGGGCAGCAGCGGCGAGGAGTCCAGCCCCGAGGGACCCGCTCGGGAGACCCCGCGCCCGCCCAGCGACATCGATAGCCAGGTATCCGATTATTTTCAGTTATCAGCTTACAACATTTCACTGCGGGACGTCATTCTCTAAATTTTCAGACAAAATTGGCATAATTATGTTTTTTTAGGGTTCGGTACCGCAAAAGGAAAAAACGAAACCCTTATATGATCACTTTGTTGTCCGTCTGTCTGTCTGTCTGTCTGTCAAGACCCTTTTTCTCGGGAACGCGTGGAGGTATCAAGCTGAAATTCATATCAAATACTCAAGTCTACTGTCCCTTGGAGTTGAGAAAAAATATAATCTTAAAATTTGGTACGAAGCAACGTATATATAACAACGTTATTAATAAGCACAGATAATGGAAAAATTGTGAAAAGCATAAATTTTTAGTTATAATAAAAATATTTTTAATAATTTTAAACTTATATACCTACGGATTTGTTCAGAACCCTCGGTGCGCGAGTCCGACTCGCACTTGGCCGGACATATTTTTTTTATTCTATTCTATTTCAGAAAAAGTAAAGTTACATATATACTGTATACCTGTATACCTCCCACTGCTGGGCACAGGTCTTCTCTAATTTCTGAGAGGGTTTTAGGGCAAGGAAATTTCCGCCGCGCTGCTCCAATGTGTGTTAGCGAATTTCACATGTCTGCGAAATATATGTTTTTTCTTATTTCTCAGACATGCAGGTTTCCTCACGATGTTTTCCTTCACCGCCGAGCACGTGGTAAATCAGCACTTAAAATTGCAATTAACAATTTCATTGGAGCCGGCGGAGATCGAATCCGGGTTGCTTGCGTATTGTGAAATTTACAGCGAGCGCCTAGCCCCTGAGCTACCACGGCTTTTTCAGAAATAATGGGCATAATTATGTTTGTGTTACTAACCCAGTCCTATTGCAAACCTCAGCTTTCTTCTTCCACATCTATATAATATAGATTATATAGACTATATCGTGTGATATTTATATCATTTTTTGGATTGCGGTGGCTGTCTAAGGGAAATAATCACCATTACGTCCCATAGTGTCATAATAGGCAACTATGGGAAAATGCAAGAATTGTGATCACTGAATGACTCTTTGCTTCCAGTAGATGGCGAATAAATTAAATATCACTTACCACCTCACATACGTAGCGATAAAGGCAAATTCTCTTTGCAGCAAGAAACTCCCAGGTTCAGCGGTGATATTCACAATGATAATGATATTATTTGTACGGTTTCTTTCAATGATGCGATGGCCCTAGAATTTTTATTTTATCAAAATAATTCAGTCTTTCATTAACATTGTTTCGTTTACAGATATCACTCCCTAGGTCCTACACACTGCCTAGAGAGTTCCGGTATTGGCGACGACGACCTCGACTAAGAGACGCCCATGTTCCAAGCAATAACAGCAGTGATGGTAAATACACACGCACACACACACGCACACGCACGCACACACACACACACACACGCACGCACGCACGCACTCGCACACACACACACACACACACACACACACACACACACACACACACACACACACACACACACACACACACACATATATATAAATTACGTGTCACGTTGTTTGTTCGCGATGGACTCCTAAACTACTGAACTGATTTCAATGAAACTTTGTACACTGTGTGCATTTTGGTCCAACTTGAGAGATAGGATAGTTTTTATCCCGATAAATGACCCTCAAAATTTTTTATTGCGAATTTAAGGATTTTTATAGGAAGGGTCGTTGGGAAGGGCAGAACAACGTCTGCCTGGCGAGCTAGTATATATATATATATATATATATATATTACTTTATTGAGTGGGGAAATCACATTTATATAAACCCAATATTCGTGAGTCGGGAGAGTCTAGAAATAGGAAAACCTCTGCCAGATCACAACTATTTGTATGTTAGATATGGAGACATGCAGTAACGATAGTCAATCCTTCTCAAGGAAGACCTTTGGCCATCGGGTTCTTCTGTAAACAATGAAACATTAACAAAAAAGAGATTGGGCGCTGCGGACATTTTAAGTTGATTTCAAGTGATGCCGAAACCGTGCTCGACTTCTTGACGCACTCACGCACACGTCTTTCTTCTTTTTTTCTATATTAGCCCTTAAATGTTCACTGTTGCACACGTTTGCACCTAAAACCCTGTTATTGGTTGCAAATGATTTTAGATAAGACGCATGTGTATGTGAGTGTGTGTAAGAACATAATAAGTTGAGAATGGTTATAGTTTGGTTTTAGCATCACTTGAAATGCACGCAGCGCACAGTCTGTTTTTCTTTGTTGGTCTGAACAAACGATGAGTACCTATGTCCTGGCCAAATATGACCACGGCGACAACTTCAGAATAGTGACAAAAGTAGGCAATGGTGCAGGGCATATAGTGAACACATAGAGCAGGTTCTGGAAGTATTTTTTTATATTATCTAGGGTAAGCAGTATAATGATTGGCACTTTAAGCGGATTTCTACTTGTAAGTGGTTAATTCTCATAAATAAACAAATTTGTTATATTTTTTATGGTTTTGTTGGAATTTAGTTTAAATAGCCATAAATAAAATAACGCATTACCTTTAAAAAGAAATGTTTAATTAAGTTAAAAATCTAATTATACTTTTTTCTACAGAATGTTACAATCATTGGCACTTTAGCATAGTGAATGGCACTGTAAATTAAGTATAGTCATTGGCACCATTGGAAATCTTAAAAAGTTATACCCAGATCTTTCTAAGCTCCATCCTATTGTTATAAGACTTATTTTGAGCAAATCTTCTTCAAAAATTTTTCTTAAATGTTCATCCGAAAGCGGTTTCGTTGGTCTACCATGTTTTTTCTTTCTTCGTAGGTATACATTTTTGATTTTTAGTAAAACCTTTCGTGTTTTCTCGATATTTTGTAGAGATACGAGTAGAACCTTATTTCGGTTTTTTAGATTAAATATTTAGAGAGTATTATAATGTCAGAGTTTTTGGCTTCGCTCGTCTTGTTTTGTTTGTCAGTTTGTTTCTATATTTGGCTGACTAATTCAATTCTGCCCAATTTTTTCATTATTTTTTTAGCTTCGCTGCTTCCGAATCTTCACTTGTTAGCACAAAATAACGGCGTTGTTTACCTGATTTTTGCTTTTTGATACGTATTTAGCAATGGACAAAACTCTCACACACGCACAACCCACAGGTCTCAAAACCATTTCATAATGTAGATTTATTTCAATACGGTAAAAGTCTTGCTAATATATGCCCGCATCTGTTTTAGTAACCTTTTTGTCAAATTGTTTGTCCGTCATTCAAAGACAGGTTTGCGGCACATATCTTTGGTGGGCCGAAATGCAGTGATATCAGCTGGTTGCAATAGTCGCGTTGCATTCAGGTTAAGGGTTATAAGTATTATGGCGAGATTTGGGCAAAGTTGCGCCATATTTAAGACAGTAAATAATCCTCTCTCTTGGCACTAAGTTTTGAACGTCTGATCACATTTTCTATAGGGGGAAAATAATAGGTTTTACCGTCTACTCCAAAGAACAGTGATGCAAGACTACGATTAGGCATGATCCACCTCATAGATGTTATTCTCCCTCTATAAAACTGTTTAGTATGTATGAAATTTTTATGACATCGAAAACTGTGCCAGCACCAGGTCAGCTTTTCAGCTTCTTAGTTTTTTTGAGTTTACTTATTTAGTGGGAACTGTAAATGCGCGCGTGGAATGTTAAATGCTAGTGCGGTAGTTATTTTTCTAAAGCGCCCGCTCTTGATAGCTGTATTCTTCATCAATTCAAAATATGAAAAAGGTCAGTCATAATCATTGGCACTACTCAAAGGATATAGTCATTGGCAGTGTCAAGAATAGATTTTGGGCAAAAGGAAGAAAGTATAATCATTGACATATATGCCAATGATTATGTAGTCAAACAAAGTAAAGTATAGTCATTGGCACAATTAAAAAAAAACCGATGCTTCTATTTCACAACGATCAACAGAGACACTGTAGTGTCTCACGCCAAGTACACGTTCAACATATGTATATGTCTGTAAACATATAGGCGTGAGGCTACAGTGTATATATTCTCGAAACAGATGTCAACATAATCTCACCTAATTTTTAACTTCATATATTTAATTATTAACGAAACGTCAACACTTTATACAGTCATCTATCATTTTGTTTATCAATTATTTCCATATAACACTAAAAAGATTCCACTATGGATTGTAGAGTAGAAGGAGGACCATCTCTATAAATGAAAAGTGTCCCTAAAATCGCGTCCAATAAGGGTGGCGCTTCACTAGCATAGGATGAATTTAAAAAAAGCGCCAAAATTAATTAGAATAAGATGACGAAATAAACAAGGACCGACCAATCCGCTTGGCTGTGTACTACGTAAATAGTAGAGGTTTTGTATACTGGCATTTTACTAACTACTCTAGTTATGAAATTTTTTAAATATTTGAATTCAGCTGACTTCACTCCGTCTACAACAGCTATATTCATATCGTAGTTTTTCAGACGCCAGCGCTATTGTGGTAGGTTTTGGAATCTTTATTTTCAGTATATAATGGGACACTTTTTCAACTTTCGCACCTTATAAGATGGTTCTCCTTCTACTCTACACTCCACAAAAGATTTATGGAGTGTAGAGTAGAGTACAAGGAGGACCATCTCTACATATGAAAAGTGTCCCTAAAAACGCGTCCATTAAGGGTGGCGCTGCAATAGCATAGCATAAATTAAAAAAGCGCCAAAATTAATTAGAATAAGATGAAGAAATAAACAAGCACCGACCAATCTGCTAGGTTTTGTACTACGTAAATAGTTGAGGTTTTGTATACTGGCATTTTTCTAACTACTCTACTCATGAAATTTTTTAAATATTTGAATTCAGCTGACTTCACTCCGTCTACAACAGCTATTACTCATATGGTAGTTTTTCAGATAGCCAGCGCTATTGTAGTAGGTTTTGGAACCTCTATTTTCAGTATATAGTGGGACACTTTTTCAACTTTCGAAACATCACTATTGTTATGAAATAAGTACCTATTTAATATAATTCTTAAAAAAATAAACAAAACCCGGTCTCGATACGTTAAATTTTTCGAGAGTTATTGTGACCATGCAAAAAAAAATCCGGACGTCCACGAAAATTATTAGTTAGTGTGCGATATTTGAAAAAAAAATAGAAATTGTGTACTTTACAAAAAGATATGAAATACGAACAAAAACAGTTTCAACAAGTACACCATTCTTTTATTATTACTTTTTTCAGAAAAATTTTTTTCAAATCTACGTAAAATGATAAAAATAGACAGAAACTTGCATATAAAATTACCTAAAAATCACATTTTTGTCTCAAAATCTAGCCACAAAACCTCAACTTTTTGTTAAATTTTAACGGATTTGTCCGCACACATTTTTACAACAGCCCTTATAGGAAAATAGTTGTTGCTTTAAATATAAATATGTGTACTGTTAGTATAAGTAATTATATATCTTAGCAATATCTGTGTAGCTGTGATATAGAAAAAGGAAAACATTCTTAATATTAAAAGAGCAAAGTGCCAATCATTGAAGGAGTGCCAATATTAGTACTGTTTACCCTATATTGTGGTATACTTTTTTACAAGTGGGTGGAGGTTCTTCTTCGTTTAGAGGTCTGTCAGGGTTGGTACTAACCTCTTGCCTACATCTAACGCCATTCACTATTAGGTACTTTGAAGGTGAGTGTAATACAGGCTGTGTGTATGTAGTCATCAAACGTGACAAAGCATCAAAAACGAAAATCTTCAGCTGTATACAGCTAGATGGTGCTCGTAATCGTATGCTATGTGAATTCTATTTATGTATTAAGTATTTAAATAAAATATATTTTTAATTAAAACAAAATTCGGATGATGGAATATGGCTGACGGCGCTGATAACGCTTGATTGTGACTCGATCGCCTTTCTTGATTCGAATTAGTTCGGGACTAAGCTTGTAAAACCAGTTTCGAAAAAACTAAATTTGTTACTGTACCAGGTGGTAAATAATTATTTTAAAATACTATTTTGATAGTCTTTGGGTTATAGCATGGTGCGGGTGACAGCTTACAGTTTGGCGTGTCTAGAACTATAAACTTAGTGGTTATATTCTCTTTGTAGAACTACATATATATTTATCTATGGTCTAGAAATGGAACATTGATAAATCGATTTCAAAAAGGCGATTAACGATACACAAAGCAAAGCAAAAATTATCGATTAGCTATCGATATAAAAATTAAAACCGAAACATATTTCTTTTATAAACTACAATGCATGTAAAATTAAGTTAAAGTTTAATACAAATTATGACATAATAGTTACATAATAGCTGTTCACGCACCCCGCCCGCTTGGTATTTATTACGATGGGATTTCATGGGTTTTAATTTTTTTGCGTGGAATCCTAATTATTTTAGTGGAAAGAACTGGTCTCTGCCTACCCCTACGGGAAAAAGGCGTGATTATATGTATGTATGTATGTATTCAGTAAAAGGCTGTTATTTTGATATTACAAACAGACACTTCAAGATATAGACTATACTATGTATTAATTTGAAAATAAAAATCGTCTTTTATTTCACGTTGATTGCAATATTCATATTGACATTTAAATAAATAAAATGGCTGCCAGCATCTGTAAATTTCAGTACGGCGTTGACTGTACCGGCAGCTTTTAAGGTACAAGTCACAAACTATATAGAAACACTACGCGTTAAATGCTAGTCGACGTCTTTAGTTATTTTTTTTTATTTTTTGGAGTTTATGGCCTGGCATCTAGACCTTTAGGCCAACGTCTTTAGTTACATATGTATTAGTGTTGCCAGGTCCATTGGGCCAAAGTTCGGGACGAAAGGTAAAAATAATCCAGAATTTGGTTTACAAATCTAATGAAATAAAAATAAAAAACATGCGTGAGTGTCATGGAGCACTCGGTTGGAACGAAGTTCCTTTCGTAGTATATTATTATTGATAAACATATTATATTATTGATTAACAAATACAAATAAATGAATTACTGGAGTCTATTAAAATTAAGCGTCATTTAAAATAATATTTCTTTCATAGCAAGATAAGAAAAAGTGCAGGTACATGGATATTATTCTATCTCGCTCGCACTATAGAAAGGAGTCGATATGGGATAATCTTACACTTTTTCTCATCTAGCCCACATCCGTCAAATTCGTACCGTGCGATAAGGAACTTCGTTCCAAAAATTAGGTTTTTGTAGCCATTTTGGCCGCCATGAGTTACGATAGTCTTTTTGACACATTTCAAAACCGATTTTTGATAGTCTGTGGTGGTTCGCTATGACAAGACATAGTTTAGCGTAGCACATCACTATCGGAAGTGGGCGGTGCCCATCCATGAAATACAACATCTGTATGACAGTTATCTAAAAAAATACGAAACTTCATAAGCGTGACCTGTCATACGCATTATACTACAACGCAAAGACTATGGTTCATTTATTTACCAACGGTTTCCAAATATAAATCAAATTTATAATTATTGTATTGCGTGTTACGTAAATTTGTAAACAAATATATGCATGTCAGGTGACGTGGACAGCGGCGACAACGACAGCTCGCGGCAGTCGGAGTGCTCGGGCGCGTCGCAGCCGCACGTGCGCCGCGCGCGCCGCCCGCACCCCGCGCCCCACCCGCACCACGCCCACCCCCTGCGGCACAAGCCCGAGACCGAGCTGTGACCGCACGCAGACACAACCCCTCCCCACACACACACACATACAAATGCACTGCTCACTACACTCTTGTGACATGGACTTGAAACGCACTAAACACAAATAAAGTCATCATTCATCAAGATCTCAATCCCTCCTATATCACAAAAAAATACTTTATTTATTCCAAAAGCCGCAGGTTAAACTAGATTGTTTCAACAAAGAAGTGCCGTGAAAAATATGCGAACTAAGATGTAAAGTATGGTTGATAGCAAATGGCAAATTAAACATCGAACACATCTTTCGTAAGACTTCTTTAAACCAGAGACTATCAATAATCCACGTTTTGTGAGATTAAACCGTTAGTCTACGTCCTTAGATAAATACGACTGAGGAATCGTTATTTTTAATTTTAGTATATTAATCAATCTAGAAACAAAACGACATGAACTAAAATAGAAATAGCTACAAAAAGATACAGGAAGAGGACAGAGAGAACAGGAAGGTACTACTAATCATAGACAATCTAGAAAGAGACAAATTCATATAGACTTTTTCGTCGATCGATTGAGAAATTTGACATACTAAATACGATGTATACACTACTATATTGCCATTCTCCAGTCAATTTTTTTTATAGAATAAGGGTGACAAACGAACAGTCCACCTGATGTTAAGTGAATCCTGTGGCCCATAGACATCTAAATGTCTCCTCGATTAAGAATCGAAATTTAGATACGTTGTCACCCCTGAGCACTAAGATGGAATGCCTCGTGTCCATTAAAGTCTCCTGTTCTCAACACTCACCATACAAAACACAGCAGCATTAAGCTGCTATTTTACGCTGGTATTCTATGAGATCTTGGTCTTACCTCAGTCGAGCCGACCCATTCCTGCTAAAACCTAATATAGCTGCACGTACGTCTACCACGTTATGTCAGTCCATGCTAATTTCTGGCACATACGCAGACAAAAGCAATACAAGAATCCCAAACACCCTTAATGTGCAGATTGACTGATTGAAAGACAAGACAAATTTACTGAGCGTTCACTCTAGAAAAAGAGTAAAAACAATAATAATGAAATAAAAACAGACAAGAGCGATCGCCCATTCGCTTTTTTACACTGCTCTTCGTTTCTATTTTATGACACGCCTGCCGGCCCCTTAACCGATAGGATTATCCCACTTTTTGATTCGTATTAAATGTAAAACATACCTCTTCCAAATTACATAAAATAAAAATACACATGTTTGTGTTTCTGTACTTTAATGTCGCAATCCTATAATTAAATATCCAAATTATCTAATAATTATCTAATACTGCAGTCAATTACTACCTATTTTGTACCAAAATTGATTGCAAGAGTTCATTCGAACTACAAATCTATTTGAAAATCATTTTTTTTAAGTATGTACCACAAATTACGTATTATTTACTGTGTATTATGTAATAGCAAATATACCATAAGTATTTTGTTGACAATATCCAATAAAAATATTTATTGTAAAAATGTAAATAAATACTTTGTAGATTACTGTTGTAGCTAAATATCCATAACCGACTTCACATCAGAAATCCCCGTCGGTACCTCAAATTATTCGCAATTTTAAGTGCTTGTTTACCACGTGTTCAAATGCGGAGGAAAACCTGGTGAGGTAACCTACATACATCAATACATACATATATATATGTAAACACACACTAGTCACCCAGAGGGATAGGCAGAATACAGACTTCCGTTTGGCAGGAACCTAACACCTCTCTCGCCTCTATACCTACGCATACACATGCTCGACGATTAAGGGTACTCTTAATTTGGCCCATCATCATATCACCAATTGGGTCGATAAACTTCTATCTGGGCCGGTTCTGCCGTTCACTTCTTCAACATAAATTTGCTTTATCCCTCTTTCCTCATTCATTATTTCTACGTGACAAAACCACCGAAGCATTCCTTTCTAAATCCTGGTCACATTTATCATGCAAACCACAACACAATTAAATGTAAAATGTTCTACGTATTGTATTCTCTAATATTTCTATTATTTTACTAACATGATGCGGGTAGGTATACTAATAGAACATATTTTTATAAATTTTACATAATTATACCATAACCCATTCATCACATTCCAAGTTAATTTTATTGTGTTCAAGAAAACAAAATATTTGTTAAATATGAAACGAGAAGGTACTTAATAGTTGTAGCAGCTAAGTATTAAGTTTTTCACAATATGTAAACAAAAACTGTTTTTTTAATTATGTATAAATATAGTCTAGAATTTGAATCAACTATGCTCATTGTTTTGAGGAACAGTATCCTTTGTCCTTAGGCACTATGTCCATTTTGAACGTACTCTAAGTAACTGCAATGGTAGAAGTTTCTTCTTAATGGCTGGCATAGATTTAATTAGTAATTTATATATCGCTGGAACGTTACGTTCGGTTTAATATTAACCTAGAACTATACAAAGGCTACGAAGTCCAATGTGAAATTGTATGAGTTACGCCATTTGATCTGAAATGGTGGCGAATCAGTCTAAACTTTTATGTACATATATTATCTTTATAATATACTAGCAATCCGCCCCGGTTTCGCACGCGTGATATTTGGATCTTAACATCGGCACCTAGCGAGTCCAATTGTGAATTTAAACCACCCAGAGACTCACTCAAACACACACAAAATAGCAGTTCTCGAGTTTTAGCGACTAACGGACAGCAATTGATTTTTATATATAGAAATAATCGTTAGTGCGTCTGTAGTGATTACGTAACTTCTGAATGACTTGACCGATTGTGGTCAAATTTACTCTATATTATATTTGTTTGCTGAGATCTAGTTTTGCTAGGATCCAAAAGGTGCGCTCTGTATTAGTGTTATTAAAAAATTATGTTTTTTCGGTAAAAATGTTTGTCTAGTGACGAAAACAGAAATCATAATATTATCTGAACTTGGTAGGTGGCGCTGTAGTAGAGTTATTAGGAAACGGCATATGAGTGAACTCATCGCGCCACTCCCGGTCCAACTAGTATTAACATTTAACGACTCAATTAATAATAAACTAGATCTCTAAAAAGTTTAAGATGTCCAAAACTTGTACATTTGAAATAAGTAATTAGAAATAAACTTAAAAATATAAAAAGTGTATTCCAAACTCTTTATTAAAAATAAAATCATGTATTAAAATTAATTGTAAAAATTTTGTATTTTTGTACATTTTATATTTATACATAATTGTATAGTGACGAAAGGTGAAAAATAAAATAAACGTTTTCAAACTTTTTATTTACTTTATTATCTATTATATTCCAATTGTAAAAGGGGGAACCAGTCACTCGCTATCACTCCGTGTCACTACGCCTCTACTGATCTCAACCATTTACACCATATAAAGAAACATCAACCAAAAGGTTAAAATTCACAAATACACATTTAATGTTGATTAAATCTACCTTACAACTAAGCAGTTCGAATGCACCAAGAGATCTTATTTGGACGTTAACAAAATTGAATGATGTAATAGACTGTACAATCCCGCAGATGGATATATTTAAAGAACGGGATTATAAAAAGATACATTTCGGAAAGGAGATCATATATAGACAATAACAGACTATCTCCATTCCAGAACGCATCCGAAATCTTGGCGTATACGAACCTTCTTAAATCTAGAAGTTTATAGCTCAACCACGGACTTAGCGACGATTTCGGCCACAAGTTACATCGTCAATGAAATGTTAGATTTTATCGTGATAAGGCGTAGCTAGGCTTTGAAAGATCTGCGGGGCTAGCAAAGATGACTTTCGACATTCTTCAGCGCTAATAGAAAACTGTAACAATAACTGAAATCAACATTAAGTCACGTGAGCGTCAAGTGTCCTCACGTTGAGATATGTCATTCCCATTCATTTTTACAGTTTTATACTAGCAATAACGATCGCAGAATGTAGACTTGGCTAACCTCACAATGCAGACAGGCCCCTTATTTTTTTAGATTATATATTTACGATATCGTTACTTAAATTTTTACGTAAATTTATTGACATAGTAGAACTCCAGTGCTATTTAACCACATTTAGATCAATCAATCCCCAACTACGCGCCCATCACGAATGAAGCACTCAAAAAAAAACGAGCTGATGTGACACCATTACAAGATTGCAAGTCTTATATGAAAAAAAAAAACTCAATAAGAACACTGAAGTGCGGCCATTCAAGAATGAACTTTAATTAAGGCTTAAATTTTATTGTATTATGCTAATTAAAAATTATTAGTTTACTTCACAGGATTAAATTCAAACAAAGTTTTCGTCGATTTCACATGACTTATTGTCTAAGACTCTACGAAATATTAGAAATGAGACCGGAAGATAAATGGCGAAACTTTTTAATGCTCTTTAATAAAAGTTAGCATTGCACTTTGTCATAAGGTGTATAAAAAATTTATATTTAATGATGTTTACACCGTGTCTGACAATACAGAGATCGAGTCGAGTATGGTTATTTTGGAATATTTTAGGTGATCTTTTGGCAATAAACACTATTCTAGTGACGCAACATAGAGCCAAACATTGCAGTCCTGTGTATTTATTTACACATCTTAAAATTACACTTAATCAAACCTTAATAAAATAGTGTTTTTGCGATAGAACCAGACTGCAAGAAAATACGATTACAAGCCACGTCCCTTATTTAAAAAAAAACTTATATTTCACATCGTTACAGAAAATAAATCAACAATATTTTTTTAAATAGAACTAGCACAGGCATATAGACAAGATACGCGTAAATTAATTGTGAATAAACCTTTACTTAAAAAAAAAATTCTGTCGGGAGCACGTCAATATTAAATGTGAAGTTTTTTTTTAAATCATCGCGCCGTCATTTTGTCACACGCCTGTGTTTAAGCCAAATTCGAAGATTTCCAGTGAACTTTATATAGATACATTTCGGTGATAACACGTCAAAATTAAATAATGTATCTAAAACAGACTGGACAGTGTTAAAATAAATGCATGACCCCACACGGTAAATAGCTCTATTGAAACAAAAATGGTCCCGACGCTGCTCTCTCTTAAAATATATAAAATAATCATTTTTTTATTACTGCATGAATTCACCGCGTGGATCACGTCAAGTCAACAAAAATACAGGACCTTTTAAAACAGATCACAAGGTCCTATAGGCACAGCGAAAATAAAAGATACAAGTAATTCTACAGTGATTACTCTTTATTCTTACACTAGTGGGAATTATAACTACAACATAGTATTACGGCGTACGCCGCGTCGCAGCACTGAACAGTTAAAACAATATAGGACATACTTGCTTCACGTCTATAAAAATAGAGATGACGAACAATAAAAATATCAATCACGGAAAAAAATCTCTTCTAGTTTGTAATGACAGATTTAATTTATATTTGTCAACGGAATTATATTAATTCTGTAAAATATATTTCTTTAAATGAAAATAAAAGTCATACTTAAGAATGTATAAAATTTATAGTAGCATGATCGAAGTCAACCTTCTACAAACTTAAATTTCAATAAAAATCATAACTTTGTAAAAAAATAATAGTATCTTGTCAATCATGTATTCAGTCAATACATCGTTCTATTTATTCTTATAGAATACGTGAAGCATTTAAAGTAAATAAAAATTAACGTAAATACGGCGTGTGGCGAACGCGGCGAGCATTAGTCTAAGTTTTAAGTGGTGTAGCTTACTTGACTATATTTGTTTGCGGCCGAATGGTCACTGCTCACGATGATATGAGCTGTAAAATATAAAAATATATAGTTTTAAATTAAGGACCTAGTTTATTACATACAGGGTTATTTTTCAAAGAGAAGCCAAATTTTAAACTTTAGTTCAAAATTAACAGTTATTGCAGTTTTTGAAAATACGAGTAAATAACTTCTTGCTTGGCTTCCACTTTTTTTTAATAATCCCAAATTGAATGTGATTTATGGGCTTCTGCATGCGATTCAATTCGCAACGTTCTTGTGGACCGATCGACCCTTACGAATGTGTGCGCATACGTAGTAAAATAGTAAGCGTTAGATATTTGAGATTACTTTTTGTATTAATTTTTTTACCATCCGCCTATATTACTGGACCTTCTCTGCAAATTTAGCTGGTTATTACAAAATAACCCTGTATATGTATATATTTATGTAGTTCAATACTTTAAAATATTTAAGAATTTATTAATTACACCTTTTTAAAATAAATCATATGGTATTTCTCTCACAACTAAGCGTTTCTTTTTAAAGTAAAGAGAAATCAAACAACACAACTCATTCACATACTTATGCAAATTAAATGAAACAGCAAAAAATATAACATTAAAATTTCACATGTAATAGAAAATAAAAATATAAACAAATAAAAGAAAAGAAAGCAAAAATTCTACCTTGTAAATAAAAGCAGGTGTTTCATCCATTCCACTTCATTTCAGATAATTATTCTTTCATAATATATTATTATTGTAATAATATATAACTATGTCCTTTTATAAACTATAACTAGGTAGACATCTACACTCCTTCCTTAACTCCTAACATCTTAAATACACTGCAACAAACAGAAATAAAAATAATAATAAAAAGAAAGCTTTTCAACATAACTGTCTCACACATATTAGGTTCCCAGTGTGCGACATTCATATTTCTTCCTGTGATCAAACCCCCCCACAATCACATCCACAAGAGAACTAACATTTGCCGGATCTATCTAGATCTATCAAATGTTAGTCGATGATCTCAGCAGTGGATTTTTTACTATCTTAGCTTACATTCATTCTCTAACATATTTATATAAATCCTGAGTTTCCCTCATAAAAAAATAATAAAAAAATATTCACTAAATAAATCATGTAATAACTAAAATGCTGCTAGTTTATTGAATAGCACATATGTTCTAAAGCACTTAAAATTTGAACAAGTGCATCTATTTATAAGCAAACAAAAAACAGATCTTTTAGTTTATTTAAATGCTTTATATTACGTTATTAACCTTCATTATGTATTCAATAGTTTAAGTATGTGTATATAATGTCTGTGTGAATTTCTTGTCGCCAAAATTTATCCCTTGAACAGTTTAAGCAACAACAGTATGTTGAATTTACAGACTGTGGTAATATTTTTTCAGTTCTCAGATACACATTCATTTTCTATTGAGAACAAAGGTTTAATTAAGGTTTAAACTTAATGCTGAACGCACGTTTGTCGGCACCGTACCGCGCCGCATGTTAGAATCCGTTGTATGAAATCATATGAAACCTCGCACATTGCTTAGTGGATTTTCTACTAAGTTAAGGTTTTACCAATTCTTGAAATTTCTTGTATGTCAAATGCAAATGCAAATATCTGTATAAAACCATTCATCATCATCTAATAAGTGTTTAAATAAAGTATAATATTCTCCATACAACTGCCTTTTAAAATTAATATTGTGAATCCAGAATCTTCCTGCCAATAAGGCTACTACAACATTTTTTCCATAGTGATCCGAGAAATTCCGAGCGATCAGTGTCACTGTACCGTTTCACACCAGTGGTTGGAAAGAACTACAAAAGTTGTTGGTAACAAAAGATTTGCGTACGGCGCGAACGTTCCAATGAGCGACGAGTAAATGCGGCGCGTACGGTGCTGACAAATGTGAGTTCAGCTTTTGGATTACTATATCAGTGATGATTTAGTAGGACAGGCAGATGTAGCTCTATTATTTAATATGATTCTATCATTGGTTTTGTAAAGTAGTACCTACCGACTTGACTGTGGCCTTAATGAAGTCCTTCTTGTGCGCGAGGTCGAAGTCAGGGTAGTGACTGTAAACCTGTTTGCACACTGTTTTCATTGTGATCTGCTCCAGGTTAGCTCCCTCAAGTATCTGCTTCACATACTTTTTAATCTCCTCGTCCTAATTAAATAAGCAAAGTATTATGTAAATACATGCAATACAATAACACTATAAAACATTTTCGTTTTATTTGTATAAAAACAAATATAAAAATACTATAATTATGTATTTAACAGCCAACTCCATCGGTGTTTATATATGTATTGGTGTTGATACCTTCTATCAAAAAGTTTGAAAATTAATTTAAAGAAGTAACTATGACCATTAAACTTTCTTATTCTGGAACTACTTGTTTTCTGCTAAGCTATATTTTGTGCTGTAGACAAGTATTGAACTCCTTATTATTTTTTAAAGAAGGGAGGCAAACGAGCATGTGGCTCACCTGATGGTAAGCGATAGAACGACTGCAACACCAAGGGAAGGGAATCATATAAGAAATATGGTGGACTGCAATTCGTTCCTCACGTCAGTTTTATAAAAAAAGAAATAGTCAAGCCTATAAGAACTCAGTTGATTCAAGCTGCTCCTCGCTGGATCGATCAAGCGGAAAAAGCTGGTACTGTTGTGACCGGACCGTAGCTGAATAGAATAGAATAGAATAGAATAGAATAGAATAATTTATATTCAATATAGATTATTACATAATACTTATTACCACTGGTTCAGAAAATACATGTCCTGTCCTGGGAATAACCAGCAAGAAACACAGCGGGACTTTTTTTTAAAACATATTTCATTTTACAATCATTTTTTTTTGTTTGTACAAATTTTAAATGACTTTTAATAGAACCAGCATGGTGGCGATCACCTCACTCCCAGCGTTTTTTTTTAAATGATGACCACAGATATACAGAGAACATGCAAGAATTGATTACATATCAGATTTTTGAGTACACAGAAGATACCATTATAGCACCTATGGCGACATGGAAATAATAAGACCTGAAGCAATAAAACAAATTGAAACAGCTCACTCAGCAAAACAATATTTTACTTACAGTGGGTGGTCTTTTAGCCTTCTTATCCGCGGGTGTGTCGGATTCGTCGCCGCTCTCCTCTTCCTCCTCCTCGTCACTACCTCCTTCCTCTTCCTCCTCTTCACTACCTTCTCCCGACTCCTCTTCTGAAGATGCTTTTTTGCCCTTCTTTGCCGGCCGTCCTACTGGCTTTCCGGGAGCCTTCTTTTTAGCTAGGTTATCGAAATAAAATAGTTTAGTCTAGAGGAAAAATATTTTTTTATGAGTTTTGTCCCGGGTTGACTGGGAGAGAATGCCAAAAGGCATTAAGTCCGCGCTTTGTAATTTTTTTTATTAAGGTCTACAATAAAGTGTAAATAAATAAATTATGTCAGATCGAAAGCCAGTATTCAGAGACAATCTTTCGCTTAAACTCAATGTTTACAATGTCCAATTTCGTTTAATAATACACTATGGTATAGACTCAAATGGTACACAGATTTTGACATTGTAAGGTTGTAGTTAAAACTTCATTTACTCGACTCAGAGACATTCTCGAGTTTAAGCTCAAAGTCCACAATCTCTAAATTTAAGTCCAAACTATACTAAATACACAAAATTAGACTTTAAGCTCTGGATTGACTCAGAAATGTCTAATACTATTGTAGGATTATTCAAAATGAAGTCAATTGAAAGTATAAACCATAGTCAACTAGTCTGTTAAAATGGCTAAGTAAGTGAACTGACTTCTTTTCTTTAAACCTGACCTCTTTTTCTAAAATAAACAATTACCTGGCGGCGTGGGTGCTTTTCTCTTCACCGGCGTCGCTTTAGCGGTGGAATTCTTCGCAACGGGTCCCTTGCGACCTTTTACGACCGCCGATGGCCGTCCTCGCTTTCCTTTTGGCTCCTGCTTTAAAAGTAAAATTACAATTAAACCTATTATGAAAAGTCAAATTATTTAATAAAAACAGTCTTTATAAAGATCGCATTTTTTTAAAGTTTGTTGATTTATATAATTGGTGTAACTCACATCAGACTCCTCTGCGTCACTTCCGGACTCTCCCCCACTTTCACTTTCAGATTTATCGCTCTCATCGTCACTTTCCGACTTTGCTTTTTTGCCGCGGCTTGGCTTACTTGCACCCTGTTGATTGCATTAGCAAATTATTACTTAAAACTTTCTGAGACTTTTCTTGGCACGAGTTTTCTATTAATAGTTAGCTGATAAAAAATAGAGATTTTCTAATCGCGTAGGGTATAGTAGACCTCTCCGCAATCATTAGTTTTAGTGCAGGAATCGAAAAATAAACAATACATTTTGTTTTCTATTCTAATTACTATTTGATGTTACCGTGTAGTGGCCATATCATCTCGTGGGTGTTGTATGAGGCAACAAAGAGAAACAAATCAGGAGATGGGCAGCAGCCTTCCTAATAATAATGACTTAGAATAAAAAAAACTTCGGTTTTTTTTTTTTAGAAAAAATGTTACGATAGAGCACAGAATCCAAAATGCAGACGTGTTGTCACCCCTGAGGACTGAGATGGAATGCTTAGTTTCCAGTAATAAAGGTATCTGATCCTCTACACGCACCATATGAAACAGCAGAATTGAGCTGCTATTTTACGCTGGTATTCTGTGAGTGTGGTATAATAATAATAAGTTTATTTCTTAAACCAATACAATTTGAAACATTGTGGCCGGAGTCTCCTTTTGAGCTAGAGCCTGTGTAAGGGTGCACCGCTCTTCCTTAAATTTATAATTATTATGAAGCTGACAGTTTTAAAGCAGTTCAAAAAAAATTAAAGCTTTAATGTATGAAATAGGATTAATTTAAATATTTGTAAGTGTGTGTGTGTGTTCTTTTGTAAATGTGCATAAGGTATAGCTGTAGCGTGGCTCTTCCACGTGGCTAACTTGCTTGCCAAAGTGGCAACGACGGCAAATATCCGTCGTATGCGGTAGTGGCGTTGAATAGTCTGTAACGGTAAGTGTTGCGTTATGCTATGAAGCAGGCGTGGCTCACCCGGCCGCGCTTGGGCTTGGGCTTGCGGCCGCGCTTGCCGGGGCGCGGCGCCGAGCGGCGGCGCGCGCCCGCCTTGCGCTTGCGCGCGCCCGCGCCGCCGCCCTCGCCCGCCTCGGGGTCGAAGTCCGAGTCCGCCTCCGACCCGCTCGGGTTGAACGACCCCTGCAACCACACAACACGCATTCATCATTTCATACCCCCCGCCCCCCGGCCCCCGGCCGCGTACTCGTCAAGTGATCACTTTAACGGACCGTGTGTATCGAGCATTACGGATTTTATCACGTATATTCACTTATTTTATATTACCGACGTTTCGAGCACTTGACAGCACCATAACCATGGATGGATACGTAATACTAATTTCATTTAAACTGGTTAAAACATATTAAATTAAACTCCTTTAATAACTAATTTTAACTTAACGGGAAGAATTCAACACATGTGAATGATAAGGTTAATCCAAATTAAACTCCAGACGCTATTTCACACACAGCAGCCCTAGTCACAACAGAGACTATTATAGTGAAAGAGTGTGTACCCAAACACAGGTGCACTCTCTATTCCCTCACTCTCATAGTCCAAAGGGGCACATCGGCACTCCGACACCATTAGACTGGGTTGCTACTGGGAATTTTGGACACAAAAACTCAATAACGAATTTGGTCCGACCCAGGATCAAACCCGAGACCAGCTTTTACGACCTACTACACTTACAAAAAAATATTAAAATGTTGTAATACATATCTATATAAGTCAAAACGATCTATGTTGAATCTATATTTTTTTGTGAACAAATTTTTCATAAAGGTAAATCTTAAATTCATACTATCATACAGATTCATTACAGAAAAACAAAACATGTGCATATGTGATTACTCTGCACTAGAGCTATAAATGTAAAATATTGGTACATGGTAACATAGTAAAAGGTGTAACATAATATAACAGTAGAATTTTCCTAGTTACTCATTTTTCAAACATTACACACAAATGTAAATTAGTTAAAATAATTATCAAAAACTGAAATATTTACACTATCAAGTTTTTATGAATATAAAAATCAGATGATAAAGTTACCATTAGTTCAAAACTACCCTAGGTCAAATGAAGTTACTTTTTTTTGAAGAATAAGTAGTACCTCCAGTTAACAATTGTGTGACAATTATATTTATACATCAACAATATTTTAAAGAAATCATAATTCCACTTACATCTGAATCTTCTGATCCATCTTTTGTGGGTTTGGGGCCTTTAACTTTTGTTTCAGGATCAGTCTCATACTCTTCATCAGAATAGCCTGGAGAAGAAATTAAATGGTTATTATCACGCATAAGTAATATAATATAATGCATAATACGTCCCACTATTGAGCACAGGCCTTCTCTAATTTCGACAAATAGGGAGAAATTAGTTTGCTGTGCTGCTCCAATTCGTGTTGGCGGACTTCACATGTTTTTTTTTATTGATAAAATGTGGATGGTGGATCTGAATGCGACGAATACATTACATATTTAAATTTAACAATCAAAAACTAAAAACATCTATAAAAACGAAAATATTTGACAGTGCAACACTTGTAAATGTGTATTTTCTTGTAGTAATAAAAATATTCTTGTTCAATAAATGTTTTTAACTTTTAAATACATAATATGTACATAATGTTAATAAAATAATACTGAGTATTATAATATCCAAAATCATTTTATTTCCAATTTCATACGCGGCCGGCGGCATTGTCGGACATCAAGAGTTTCACAACTGTAAGGTCTTAAAACTGTGGCCATATAGCTGGAAGAACTAACAACTGATGAGGACAAGTCCAATGGTTAAAACAGTAATTTGAAAAAATCTGACTGTGTAATAAAAGTTTACCGAAAAGAGGAAAAATTTATACCATGTCTCAGTTACACAAACGTAGACAAATCTATTGACACTCGGTATGGAAAAATCCGTGAAGTTAATTAGGTTATAGAGCGTACTAAAGAAATAGACATATGTACATTATGTATAAATACACGAAAAACATTTATTAATTTAGGTAATCATACAGCGTTTTTATTGTATTTACAATACATAATATAATACGGTAAGGCCAATAGAGATTAAACAATTTTTTTATCACTACTAATTAAGCGTGAGTGTATGCTAGAATAAATGTACGCGCGTATGTGCGTGTGTGCGTGTGAGTGCGGCGAGTTGGCGCCCGGCTGCTGCAGCGGCAGTAGGGGCGGCAGTGGGGGCGGCAGGGGCAGCAGGGGCGGCACGTACCTCGGTTGTGCACCTTGACGGCGGCGGAGCGGCGCGGGCGGCCGCCGGGCGTGGCGGCTGCGGGCGCGGCGGGCGCGGGCCGCGCCGAGCCGCGCGCGTGCGGCGAGTTGGCGCCCGGCTGCTGCAGCGGCAGTAGGGGCGGCAGTGGGGGCGGCAGGGGCAGCAGGGGCGGCACGTACCTCGGTTGTGCACCTTGACGGCGGCGGAGCGGCGCGGGCGGCCGCCGGGCGTGGCGGCTGCGGGCGCGGCGGGCGCGGGCCGCGCCGAGCCGCGCGCGTGCGGCGAGTTGGCGCCCGGCTGCTGCAGGAACCCCACCAGCCGCGCCGCCAGCTCAGACGCGGAACCTGCCGCCACACCATACGACCACTCCTACTATACTCTCCGTATAACGTGCCATTTACACTTGCAACTAATATTCGGCTATTACTCAGTATTCGGCTTATCAGGCTAATTTTACCCTATTCGATTGAATATCTAATACTATATTCTTATATTCAACCGAATAGAGAATATAGTACCTAGATATAGAATATGTAATACTTAAGTAAGAGGTTTTATTATGGTGAGGTAATAAATAAAGTAAAAATATTTATTTATTTTATAATTTATTCATTTTTCTTGTAATCGTTAAAGTATCATAAGTATGTACATAATCAACTTCCATGTTATAAAAATTAAAACAAAAACTATCAGATAAATGTCTATGCACTCGAATTATTGTAATTAAAGTGAAAGATAATGGTGCTGAAAAACCATTTTTTTCTTCATTTTCAGGCAGTAGTTTGCGCCTTTTCTTCTCGTAGACAATCCCAGTTTCAAAAAATATACGCTCTGAAGGATAAACACAAGTAGTATTTATTCCTTCCCGGCCGAATACTTTTGCCTAATATTCAGCTATTCGGCCAGTAAGTCCGCAAAATATTCGGTATTCGACATATGGCCGAACTATTCCTTGCATGTCTAATTTCAATATTATAAATGCAAATGAAACTCTATCTGCCTGTTATGTTTACATGCAAAACCACTTAATGACTTGATACGAAGAAAACTTATGCCTAATAATGGTCATAGGCCACCTTGTAATTATCAGTAGGCAACCCGAAATCAGGAACTGGGCGGTTTTTCACCCCTGTGCTGTGCCTCGGAAAACAAGTTAAACCATCCTATGCCTATAGTAGCTACTATTAGCAGACCAGTTGGCACATATTTTTTTTACTTTAATGATTATTGTGTAACTGGATAAATACACACTGCTGCCCGTTGCATTCACCTATGTCACATCTCAGAACACCCGTTGCCTCATAAGGAATATTTCCTATAGTTGCCGCTCTTAGCAGACCGGTTGGCATTTTATTATTTATAAATTGTTATTGTGTATCAGAGAAAGATCCACGCTACTGCTCATTGCATTTCCCCTATTACATCTTACAATACCCACAATGATATGAGATTATTGGATAGTAGTTTCCTTTACATCACCACTACACGGTATAACTAAATAAATGTTCTTATAATTTTTTTTATTCCAATATTTTTTTACCCCCAAAATATAACAAAAGTATCAGAACATTAATCAACTCGTAATTTATTCAAGAACAAATATTGTTCAAATAAAATTTCTTGTTAAACATTATATACAAACCTTTCTTGTCCAAATCAAGCATTTCACACATAGTGCGGAGCTGTTTGGACTCCATTTTTGTAGTTTCCTCCAATTTAGCCTTATACTCCGTAGATCCAATGGCCCACTCATAACCTTTGAACTTTTTGATGTTGCGTTTAACGTTGCGGTCCAAGCATAATTGCTGAAAATAAAGGACTTAATTGTGGCTAAATGTTAAAAAAAAATTACGTTGATGACGGGAAATATAAGTGCATTTCTCTTTTTCTTCTTTTTTTTTATGAATGCCAGTTACTTCAAATCTTTTATGGTTAATTTTCACTGCAAGAAGCATTGTTAGAAGTGTCTATAAGCAAAAAAACATGTCATCATGTGTGGCAATCGATAGTAAGACTAAGTTTAATTTTGTCTGCATTTTCAGTTTAGTAACATGTTATCACTTAACTCACCCCATACAAATATTGATGAAGTAATTTCTGATCTTGCGTCTTAAAGCGCGACAATGATACTTCGACGTTACTGATATGTCCGAGGGGCGTGCCCTTTCCAGCCGGAAGAGGTACGGGCGGCTCCGTTGGCTGTTCAAATTGAAATGTTGTATTATAGTTCAAATATTAACAATTTATTCCTTCATTACAAGCCTGTTAAAAGTTCTGCTGAGCATAGGCCTCCTCTATAGATAGCCTCAAAGAGGAATAAATATTTGCCTTATACATATACATATTATATTAACATACTTTTGATGTTTGTTTTACAAAGTAAGTTTATTTCATACTACACAATACACGTCCAATAATAAAAAGTTAAAGAATATAAAACTAGTACTAACCTCTTTTTTTGGTTTAGGTTTGGGCGCCTCCTCCTCTTCTTCTTCCTCCTCCTCCTCTTCCTCTTCAGCTTCTTCATCACCGTCGTCGTCATCACCTTCGTCATCCCCCTCTTTAGGCTTCTTTGCTGGTTTCTTCATTCTATATAGAGAAGTATTATGTGTAAATTGTTGCAATAGAATAGAATAATTTTTTATTCAATATAGATCACATGTGTAATTCTTATTGAAAGTAATTTTTTACTTTACCACTGGTTCGAAAGAAAACCCTCTGTCCTGGGAAGAACCAACAAGAAGCAAGAAGTTAAGGTTAAAGAGTAATAATTTACTTTTCTGCAATAATTGTTTGTTTAAAAACCTCCACCATTGATTACTAACAAAGAAAGGTCCTGATTGCCACAATGGCAATCCAGGTATCACAGCCATCTTGACCTTGACTGTACAAACTCCATCTCATGGAGTTTGTACAGTACTAAGAAACCCACACTGAAAAACTCCTGTGGTCATTGCTAAACTAACTAAAGAATTTACACTTTTTACATGTGCTTAACACATGAAAACAAAAGAAACAACGTATCACAATGTATCACTTCCTGAATATATAGTAAGTGGTTGTTAGTTAGCCGTTACGCTGCCACCATACGGACATTTACTAGTAGTACAGGGGAATTTAAAAATAATGAAAACTTCTTACTTTTGCTTAGGTGGTTTCTTTTCCTCCTCCTCGTCAACTTCGTCTCCCTCCTCATCTTCCTCCTCCTCTTCCTCTTCATCTTCATCCTCTTCCTCTGTGTCCTATAATAAAATATTTTTTCAAGATACGAAATAAGCACTGTGTCGCAATTTTCCCTTATCTATATAATTAGCACTTTATGTAACATGTAATTTTTTTATTTTTTTATTTTACAACCTAGGCGGATGTTTATCGTCAAAATTGGCGATAGGTTAGAGATTGGTCAAATTTAGAATACCATTAACAAACGCGTATGTTTACGATAAGTGTATGAAAGAAGCGGAGAGCTGTGTCAGAGATCGTAGAAAATGGAAGTCCTTAGTATCTGTCTATCCCTCTGAGTAACAGACGAAGTGTTTATGTTTTTATGAACGTATGTAATTTTGTCTAAAAATATAAAGTACACATGCACAGCTAAATCTCCAAAATTTCATAACATACAAACTAACATAGTACTTATAATTCTGTCTATGAATGTTCCAGATTAGTCACCTCTCAAATATTAAGATAATAGATCCAGGATTTGTCGATTCAAAATATCTGAATATATTACTATTCGGCTATCCATGCATATCCGTCGTTTTCCTTCACCGCCTTGCACATGACATAGGAGTCGGCAGTTTTGAATTGGTAAATAAAGAGCAATGGCAGAAAAATAGTTGACAAAAATTATAGCGTCTAGAAATAAGTTATATATAAAATGAGTTTTATTATTTTTCTATGATTTTTCAAATAAAAATGTATTTTAATTAAAGCCACAGAAAAAAACAAACATTTTTGGGAATATCAAATGACTTATTATCATTTTATTCTATTCAAATGTTGCCATTTAGTATATTCATACTATTTTCGTATACACTTTGTAAAACTACCAACACAACACACAACATATTTTTATATTAAGTTATTATTAGTAATAACTGTACTATCAGTAATAACAAAAATAAAAGTGATATGGCTGAGAATAAGTCTCTTACAAAGAATTTCCTACAATAATACATTATCTCAATCATAATACTATGTAACAATTCCATTTAATGTTATGCCAACACTAACCAAACACTAACTAAAATAAAATGTCACTGTTTTTTTTACTGGCATTACAGCTCTGGGTTCTAGCCCTTCTGAGAATGTCACTATGGTACAAAAGTCCTGGAGCCATGCCAGAAATATACATTTATAGTATGCAAATATATAATAGAGATACAATAATCTAAAAACTCTCAATTATGTATTATGTATTAAGCTAACATCAAACAATTACAGGAAGCATGACTTTTTCCAAGTGACATAGGACATAACCTAAAAAGGTTCAAACGTAAATATCTTTTTTTTGACGCCTTCTCAGTACAAAATTCTTTGACAGAGTTATTAAGGGACTGACGCTTAATATTTTAAGATATTTTTGGTACATAGACGCTACCATTTCTTCTCAACTAATTTTATGTATGAAAGTCTGCCATTGCTCTTTACGCAGATACACTTAATTTTTGAATAAACATTAATAAATTTTACATGAAATAACAAGAACCAATCGGACGAAATTGCAGTTGCCGCCATCGCTCTTTACATAATACTACAAAACAAGACAAAAAGCGCTAATGACGTGAGTGAAGGTCAGCGTTCATTTTCCGTGCCGCATATTACTTATTATAAGGCCGGCCAGATACATTCGGAATCCCGTTTTTCCCGCAAAGTTTCGAAAACTACTATATTATATGTGATATAGGTCCTTGATTTTATACGAATTTGCTGTATGTTGCCGACATTAGTCACTTAGTTTCTTTTACGTAGTCGAGTCATACTGCAGCTATATTATGGTTGTAGCACGAATGGGTCGGCTCGACCGGGGTGGGATCACACTCTTACAAAATACCAGCGTAAAATAGCAGCTTAATGCTGCTGTGTTTCGTATGGTGAGTGTAGAGAACCGGAGACCCTTTTTACTGGAAACGAGGTACTCCATCTTAGTCCTCTGGGGTGACAAAGCATCTGCATTTTGATTCTTAATCGAGGATAAATGTCGATGTCTATGGGCCACAGCATTCACTTAGCTTCAGGTGGGCTGTCTGCTCGTTTGTCACCCTTATTCTATAAAAAAAGTCAATAGTAAATACTACGAACTTGTTATGAAATTCGACGGCCGCCTAATTTCCGTGATACCATCAGGTATCGTATAAACATATTGAGAACATCCCGCTATGATTGATTGGTGACCATTAACCATCGCGATGATCGCACACAGCTTGCGACAAGAAATTCTAGGAGTTAAAAGCACAACCTTAGGTCAATACATTTTTCTCACTGTTTAAATATATTTTGTAAATATAAATTATCTCCTAATTTCTTATTAATGAAATATTTAATTACTCGCGAATTTTTCGCGCGGCGCCACTTAGGAATGATGAGAAATATTTGACAGATTTCATAACGGTGGATGGTAATTTGTTCGGAAAATGTAAGGATTAATTAATTATTCTTTCTAAAATATTGACTATATTGTATTTTAATTAGGTTAGAAATGGATAGAACCAATCAATGGATATTCCTAAAAGTAGAAAAAAATTGTTACAAAATGTGCAAAAATTAAAGAACTAACCATTAAGCCAGTTTTTTGTACTTACACACTAGAATCCGATAACGCAATTTATTAATTAGAAATAATGACACTATGTAACAAATAAGTTCACTCCGGCACAGACACTAGCGGCATCTGGTGAGCGTAAAATTATCAACCCTCATAGACATAGTATCCAAATTTTGTTTACTTTTCCAGTTGTTAAGAAACGTTACTAACATTCGTTTTCGAAAAAATGTACCATGTCAAAAACAAAAAAGATTTGTCATCCGCGCTTAAGTGTAACTGTATTCTTTATAATATCCCGATAAAATAATATCACATATACGCAGACAAATTTAAAAAAAAAACCTTTTTCTTACCTCTTTCTTGGGTTTTTTCTTAGGCGCTAATTTCTTAACGGGCTTATCATTCACCTTGACATCTTCTTTTTCATTATCGTCATGGGTTTCACCATTTTCTTCCTATTTATTAAACAATTGTAACATTAATGGCCAAATACTCAAACGCTACTCAATTTTAAGATGTCGTATGTCACAGTCACTGACTTAAAGTGATAGAGACAGCAAGAGACTTAACGACATCTTAAAATTGAGTAACGTTTAAGTATTTGGGTATAAAACGATTATAAAATGTACTTATAAAATCATCTTCTCAAAAATACTTCACCAAAATATGTAACTACCAACTACTTCATAGGTAATATTATTTTTAGTCTTTACGTAATAACCGTACAGGTGCAATACTTATGCATCATTCGAGTATATGTCGCGATTCTGATTTGAACTCAAGTTCATATCAAAGCCGTTTAGCGATCAACTTTTGTAAACAACACGAAGTCATAAATATAAATGCACAGAAATTAAAGGTAATGTAACTACTTTAAAACATAAATTATGATACCAATTCATTAAATATCCACCACTCTCCACTACAGTACGATGTTCAAGTCCATAACTGTTTGACGCTTAACGAGGGTCAGACAATTATTCACGAGACAAACAAGGGGATTCCTTTACCTTGGCAACGGTGGAGCACAACAAGCTAGACTAGAGGCTATTTACATTTTAATACAAATAAATTGTCCAGGTGTTCTTGTATCGAGAAAAAAAATTAACTCAGTATTGATAGTATTAAATAGGTTCCTTATTTTCCTTTTTACTGGAAACGAGGCACTCCATCTTAGTCCTCATGGGTGACAACGCATCTGCATTTTGATTCGTAATCGAGGATAGATGTAGATGTCTATGGGCCACAGCAACCACTTACCACCAGGTGGACTGTGTGCTCGTTTGTCACCCAAGTCCTATAAAAAAAATCGAAATGTTTCGTTTTCACTTCCTTTCCTTTCAGAAAATTAAAAACATCTTGTCCGTCTGTCCAGCCAGGATTCAACTTAACAGCTACGAGTGTTTATAGCATTATTTATCCTATAAAAACGGTGTTAAGTTTACATAAATATCAAATTCTTTGCACAATAACGCGAAGAATGCTGTTATCATTAAATTCAATTTAAGTGGTAATTATTCGTTTATTTAAATTGCACAGATAAGAATAACAACTAGATAGTAGCGTCATTAAAAATAACTTTTCTTTGTGCAATTCAATAAAACCTCTAAATCGAAATAAGCTATTTAAAATACCTTTAGATCTACCTCGCTTTTTGCGTCCCGCTTCTCGCCTTTGGAATCGTCACCAGCCGCGTCATCATCCTTGCCGTTAGCAGTTGCTGACTTCGCGTCCCCTGTACACGACAAATTGGAAGTAAGCGATATTGTCCCAACACAAATATTACATTCTAACAATAATATTTATAAATATTATATTGATGAGAGGTTACAGATTTTTATTTGACTTGCTGTTATAAAACTAGGAACTACACTGTACTACTACAAACAGGAATTTGGTTTATGCTGGCGACTCAGAACAAACAGGAACTTGATGAGTGTTGGTAGCTTAGAGCCGTGCTTCATGGCAGTCCTTAAAGAAGCTAATTTTCGTCAGTGGACTTGTGATGATTATTAATTCTAGGTTTTTAATTCTTGCAGTCAGTTCATCACCGTAAGTAGATTTTGGTTAATCCTATGCAATGAATTATAGAAATTTGTGACAATTCGTCATCAGCTGGTCAACAGTCTACCGATGGATATGGTCTTCTTCCATAGTAAGTAAGATTTAAATTTTAGCCATAATCGTCACACTTGGCAGGCGTATTGACCTTCATCCAATGATGTAGCAAGAGTGGAATCAATGGAACTGGACGGCAGTCTCTAAGAAATTAAATACTACTGAATAATTGTGATAGAGTCATTGTTATTACGAAACAGTGTAACCTTACAAGTAGTAATGTAAACTCTGAAACTAAAAATGTGAAACTGCAGTATTTGCTGATTGTTGTATGTTTTCGGAAGAACCTAATCATCAGTTTTATGCATAATATAAAAAATTATATGTATATCGGTATCGATATCGTCGATTATTTACTTTAATAATCGTTACCGACATCGTATCGGCAAAATTATATAGGCAGATCTTTATTTTCAGAACTTGTAATTAGGGATAATTACAAGTTCTGAAAATAAAGATCATCTGCAACACACGCACGCACTTTCCAAGATCAGGGATAAGTATAAAAAGTACTTTTTACGTTTTATTCACTTTTTAATGGTGCACAAATACTTATCAGACTTTTAGCAATTTCATATTTTTTAGATATCTCGAAATTGTTAGGCGTGAGTTCTTCAATATATATTATGTTAATATTTCAAATTTAACAATGTTTAAAAATTTGCTTTGTATAATACAAGATTAAATACATTTTTTCTTATATTTAAATATTTTACATAAATAATTATACTTTTTTGTTATACCATCTCTATGTTTGTATAGTTATATCAAACTTCTATAAGTTATATAAAAACCATATTTTAGAACTTGTTAACATATTAGAATAATTTAAAAGTAATCACAAAAATCAATAGGATCGATACAATAGCCTAAAACCCTAAACGATTACGATACACTTGCAATCATCGAATTGCTGTCGCGGAAAAACCACTTTCAATTATATATCGAATAAAGAGTCAAATGGGAAGGTATCAAGAGATTTTATAGGATGTAGAAAGATATGTGAAGCTCAGTGTACGCATACGTAGCATTAGCATTTCTAGACTTTTTATTGTTTGAACTTTAAAATAATATTTAGTAGGCGTCTGTTATCAGTCAAATACGTCCGATAAAAGATTACTTTGTTTTGTTTGAAAGCAGTTATTGCTAAGAACTAAAAAAAATTTCATTGGTTACACAATAATCCTATTGACATAAATGAATTTAAATATGACTGAAATAAATTAGAACAGATTGTTCAAATTTAAATAAGCAATTTTCTCCAATTTCAAAATGACCTATTCCGAACGCGGATACATCGTGCTGGTTAGTAGGTTAGTTAGTATGGGCAGCCGACCTTTAGAATGAAACCTATCTAGATAAACTTCATAAGTAAAACTGTCTGAATACAAAATTTCATCAAAATCGTTAAGGCGACTCTTAACTTCCCGAGAAACCAATACATGGGTCACAAAATTTTGTGAAACCAAAAAAGTTCGTTATTATTATAAAATCTTTTCAATAACTCTTCGCCAGAATCTATTCATAGTTTTATGCGTCTGACCCAGTCTTGACTGTTTTTTTTTAATAATGGTGACAAACGAGTAAACACGAGAGAGTTTTCAAAGTAGTAGAACCTATTTACAGCTATATTATGGTTATAAGACAAATGAGTTGACTCAACCAGGACTCTCACAGAATACCAGCGTAGAATAACTAACGAAACTCCTGTGTTTCGTAAGGGTAAAGGAAGGTCTCCCTTTTTACTAGATACGAGGCATTTCATCTTAGTAGTCCTCAGCAGTAACAACGCACCTACATATTGATTTTTAATGTAAGATAAATGTAAATGTCTATGGGCGACAAGTATCTTATCTTTTGTCATCCTTATTCTATAAATAAAAAATGCAACATGTAGTAGCAACAGTTCTATCCAAACACTTGCCAGTCCGTCGCAAACAACTCTTCTACGGCCTACACGGACACTGCTATCGCAACATCTAGCGTTGAAAACTGTAAGTAACCCTTTCAACTGAACCTTATAAGGAATAAAAACAAGTCATGCGTTTTCAAATCGGGGCTGTCAAGAGGGTGACCCAAATGCTTAAATAACGTGCTTTTTTTTTATAGGATAAGGTGACAAACGAGCACACAGTCCACCTGATGGTAAGTGGTTGCTGTGGCCCATAGACACATCAACATTTATCCTCGTTTGCGAATCAAAATGCAGATGCGTTGTAACCCGTGAGGACTAAGATAGAATGCCTCTTTTCCAATAAAAGGGGTCTCCGGTTCTCTACACTTACCATACGAAACACAGCAGAATGAAGCCACTATTTGACGCTGGTATTCTTTCTGTGAGAGCGTGGTCCTTCCCCGGTCGAGCCGACCCATTCGTGCTACAACTATACTACTAATATAGCTGCAGCATGGCTCTACCACGTATGCTGTGTTATCCAGGAAGTCCCTAGTTTTGAGCGCTGGGCGCCCGGGCGCGTGTCATTGTTAAGCAGTAGCCCACGAAGGCCTGTGTTCGGTGGCTTGCTGCTCACAGCAATGCACACTTCTGGCAAGCATTTGTAGTATATTATTCGGTACTGATGCTGCTTCGATATGGTAAATTAATTGGCACCTGATACCATATTGGTTCATTTTGAAACGGCCAAAACAGTCGATTGGCACTTCGTTTCTGGATCGTATTGATCAATCTAAGATTTATCACCTGTGTATCGTTCTCGGGTTTTTTTTTTATAGAAGAGGGGGCAAACGAGCATACGGCTCACCTGATGGTGACTACCGCCGCCCATGAACAACCACAACACTTTATCAACCACAGGCCTTTTAGGTGTAAGCTCTTTTCTTGAAAGTCCCTAAGTTGTATCGTTCTGGAAAAATCACCGGTGGTAAACAATTCCACAAAGAAGTCGTACGAGGGAAAAAACTCCTTGTAAAACGCACAGTCGTGGACCGCCAAGCATCCAGATGGTGAGGATGGTATCGTGAATTTAGATGCGATGTGCGTTCGTGAAATTTGGCAGCTGGACTTAATCCGAACAATCCCTCAGAGCACACCTTGTCGTAAATTCGATAGAAAATGCAAAGGGATGCAATATCCCTACGCAATGCCAGTGTATCGAGCCGATCAAAAAGAACTCGTTCGGTGTTTACACCGAGACGAGCCTGCTTCAAACAATCATTTCAGGGCACTATTCCACGCGGGCCTGCTTCCGAGCATCTTTGAGGTTGTGCGACACCTGATGCGTAACAAATTAGAGTAGAGATACGTGCTCAATATTTTGATACGTAATTCACGTATTCACCATAATAATTTTTTCACTTTTTCACTGCTAATTTTTGCACGTTTCCTTCCGTAACTTGACGTCAAAGGGCGCCCCCACTTCTTTCTTCATTCATCTCTCAGTTAGTCAACCGTGCTGAAATGTGTTATTCCATTTGAAGTATAACCTAAATCGATACCTAATATTCGTTCGGTTTTAAATTACGTTACAACATTTGTTTCTGACGCAGATTCATTCTCAATGAACTACGATACTTCAATTTAGCTTGTACTTAGAAAAATGTTCAAAATAAACTTTAAATGACCGTGTCGCGTACAAATAAAAACTTCTTTGTAAAACTTTCTGCGTGGCCTATATGTTATACTTGGAAATCACTCTCGACTCGGAATTAAAAAGTTAAAATTAAGTACTAAAATATCCGTAAAAATTTTAATACGGATACGGTACATATTTATTAAAATATGTACCGAATTATATACATTATCAACTAGATCACTCAATTGTAGTTTTATAATTATTTGTAAATATATCATAAACGTTTTACAAACAGAACTAAATAGACGATTTAATATCACCATTATAAATATCAATACGACCGATATAGATTATGGACACAAATTCTATTTATAGGCCATTAAATTTACATCATTTTATGATAAATGTTTGAAAATCGGACAAGCACAGTTTTTTGTTCGTTTGGATATGGTACGGTGGGCTTCCGCGGAACAGGTCACCGTGGCAAAGTGCAGGGCAGGGGTGGAGGGTCAAGCTTATTGTAGCTACTTGGTTCAACAAAACGAATTCACATGGCGGGTAGCTGCTCCGAGTATGCTTGACGCGCCCATTCCGAAAGTAGGGACTATAAACGAAAAATCTCCCATTCCCTTCGCAGCAGAGTTGCGGCAGTGGCCTCGATGGAAGAAGAGGGTCGGTTTTACGATACATCGTTCTCGCTACCCTCCGGGGTCAAAACGCAATCGGCGACAAAGCCATAGACCAGATCCACCGCTGGAGTCGTTTCGATCATTACTAGTGCTTTAAAAAACAAGATTTCCCAGAATTGTTCTTTATTTTTCCTACTACCAATACACGGCCTTGAAAAATTATCTAATCCGTAATCAATACAATAAATTTACGGTAAAATTATACCTAAGACATTACTTGAATCGCAGTCTAGTAAAACGAGTAAAAACTCCGAAATTATATAATCAAACTTCATATCATCCTTCAAAAGGTAGGAGCATCTAAATCCGTTAATTGTAAGATTGAGACAGTCGAAAGATCTTATGTATATAAGAAACTTAGCAAAGAAATCTGTAAGATGCATGATAGTTGATTT